GCTCTAAATTCAAAAATAATTTCACATTTCTTCTACATAAATTACCCATTTCTTGTACATAAATTACCCTTTTTAAATACACATTCATCTTTCCAGAAGTGGAATGACCCTTTAAGATGAAAACTGAAAAAAAGGTCTAAATGTTTTGCTTATGACGCGCCTAGTATATTTTGCTGCTGTTCTTATTTCTTCTTCTTTATTTGATTTTGAAATTTTGATATGTTGATTTTAGAGCCAATGGAAGTTAATAAAGACAAACAACATCAGTTTCAAAAACCTCAGCATTTCAAAAAGGAAGATGGAAACCTAGTCATTCAACACACCGAAAAGTTTTTCACACATAAATGAGCTCGAAAAACTGGAGAAGGATCTTTCACCTGCCTTGAGTGTGGAAAGGGTTTCATGTGTAAAGAAAACCTAAATGATCACATGATGATTCACACTGGAGAAAAACCATTCACATGCTCTCAGTGTGTGTAGAGTTTCAGTCGCAAAAATAATCTCAACACTCATCTGCGCCGTCACTCTGGAGTGAGATCATTCAGCTGTGATCAGTGTGATAAAACATTTGTTATGGAATCAGACTTTAAATTGCACCTTAAAGTTCATTCTGGTGTGACGCCTTATAATTGTTCTTTTTGTGGAAAGAGTTTTTCACGACTACAGACTTTTAAAGGTCATGAGAGTATTCATACTGGTGTGAGACCTTATGTGCAGACTGATCTCATGAAGTAGCGTGTGTATGACACGCCAATTCGTATTTCCATTTTTGGCGTGCTATCAACACGCATAATCGCTTTTCAGCGTGTTTATGAACGCCGTTGACTTAACGTTATTACTGTATATATAAATATATTACTTACCTCAACCCCGTCCCTAAACCTACCCGTCACTGGGGTTAATGGCATTTATGAGTCTTCTCCTACCATCCTAGGAAAAAAAAAGATCGCTCCCCAGATGTAGATCTACATTTTGCTTCGTTTCGCGTGGACATTTGACGGCGTGTACAGACACACGGAATCACTCGGACGTTAATGGCGTAGACATACACGTGGATACACGCGGATAGCTCAAAATGCGTAGAGAACACGACACTTGAAAGTGGCGTGTATGTTTACACAAATGTCATGACATCATGTTGTTATTGTGTGCTTTGACTGTGGGAAGAGCTTTATTACATCCACCCACTTAAAACACACCAGAGAATTCATACTGGAGAGAAACAGTACAAGTGTTCATACTGTGGAAAGAGATTCACTGAATCATCTAATCAACGGTATAATGAGAGAAAGCATTGCCCGAAGTCGTCTTGTCTAAGTGAGCAAAGTTCACATTCACATAAATACAGTAATTAACAAATACTGTCCTTATAATTAATTTGACACAGAAATATGTCTTAGGGCATCAATGTGTACTTACATTTACGAGTCATTAAATCATGTTTAATTTGGACTTCTCTGTGCATGCTCTTTGAGGTGGTGACCATAGACCTGCATTATATGACAGATAGACACGAATGGTTTGACCTAAAAATATCAAAATTGAAACTATTGCGGAAACAAAGACACTTACATCATGGATGCCCTTGAGGTAAGCTAAAACATACCAAAAACTAATTTCAAAGTGAAAATACTGTGACATCATCGTCCATCTCAGTTCAGTTCTCATATCATGGTGTCAATGCAGATAGATCAATAATATTGTTTAATATTAAATGCAATGTCCCCAAATAAGCAAGCTAAAAACGACAGTGTCAAAGAACCCAAACTCAATCAGTGACAGAATGGAGAAAAAACCTTGGGAGAAACTAGACTCAGTCGCTTAGTTCTCCTCTGGCCAACAAACAAACGGATCCGGCTGATAGTCCAAGTGACTACAGTGGCTCAATCTTAAGTTTATCAAACGACGAGAACACTTTTTGTGCTCAAAAAATAACGACTTTATTTCAACTATTCATTTACTTCTCTCTCTGCCTCGAGTCATGTTACTAGTTTAACAGCGTAAGCTTCTGTTATTGTATGTCACACGCATCACACACATGACCAGCGTCGGCCAATTGTGAGCCTACGTGTGACGTAGCTCTACGCTATCACACTATGTTAACTGACTAGAGCCCCATAGAGAAGTAAGGGGATTGTTGAATAAAGTCGTTGTTTTTGCGCACAAAATGTATTCTTGTCGCTTGATAAAGTTAAGATTGAGCCACTTAAGTCACTTTTTCGAGGTTCACAACTTTTCGAGGCCGGCAAGTTTCAATTCCTCAAGAAGCCTATGGACTAGTATGCAGGTGTGATCCAGCTCTCAGATTTCATCAAAAATATCTTAATTTGTGTTCCGAAGATGAACGAAGGTCTTACGGGGTTGGAACAACATGAGGGTGAGTAAATACTGACAGAATTTTCATTTTTTGGTGAACTAACCCTTTAAGAGCTCGCTCAAATACTGGGGAACTAAAACATTAAGTGCTTTGTTGGTAATCAGCAATATTTTAATAGGGAGCCGATGCACTGTTGACAGAACCAGGCTAATATGGTCATATTTCCTCGTTCTGGTAAGAACTCGAGCTGCTGGACCAACTGTAGTTTGTCTATTATGCTTGCAATGCAACCACCCATTAGAGCACTACAATATTCTGGCCTTGAGGTCATGAACGAATTAACTAACTTTTGCGAATTTTTCATTGAAGGCATAAGTCATAATTTTGATATTTATGCAGTTTTTCAAATGCTAGAAACATGCTTTAAACAGGCTTTAAAATGAAAGATTGGAATCAAATCTTTGATTGGAAGTCCCTACCAGCTGTTTGTTGTAGTTCTTAAAAAGTGATTTCTGTAAAAGAAAATATCTCCCTCAGTCTCTCTGAACAGGTATCAGGTAAAATATTCTTGGAATTATATACTACCTAACATCATATCATTATTTCAAACATCCTTTTTCAAAGTTTAGTTAATATTTTTATATAAACGTTGTATTAAACGTTTAAGTGAATTCATTCACTTATTAAAATTAGTGATGGCCGGTTTGTGAACGAATCGTTCTTTTGAACCGGTTCTTTTTAGTGAACCGGTCGAACCAGTACACTAAATCGGACTGAATCGTTCGAAACAGTTCACGTCTTGCATCAGTGCTGATCCACAAGTTACTAAAGTTACTCACTTTCAGACATGCCTGACAGTCCCTCCGAATCAAAATAAAACAATATCCAGGAGTACATTTTATTCCAGTAAAGTTTACTGAACTGAGACATGTTGGTTGCTGAGAGAAGTGATGAACACGAGCAGCTGTGAGCGACCTCTAGAGGCCCTGGACCCCAACCTCCCAGAGCAGCCTCCACAGGATGCCACGAGAGACACAGCTGAATGCCTTCTCTAAATCCACAAAGCACAGGTAGATTGGTAGATTGGGCAAACTCCCATGAATCCTCCAGCACCCAGGAGAGGGTATATAGCTGGTAGAGTGTTCCACAACCAGGACAAAAACCGCACTGTTCCGCCTGAATCAGAGGTTCTACTATCATCTGAATTCTCCTCTTCAGTACACTGGCATAGACTTTCCCGGGGAGGCTTAAAAAGAGGGACCACCACACCGGTCTGCCAGCCGCTAAGGTACTGTCTCTCACTGTAACGCTATGTTGAGGCGTGAGGCAGAGGCGTGTCAGCCAAGACAGCCCCACAACATCCAGAGACTTGAAGTACTCAGGGTGGATCTCATCCAGCCCCGGTGCCTTGCCGGGACGAGTCCACCTCCGAGCCCTCAGCCTCTGCTTCCTCAATGGAAGACATGTTGGTGAGGTCCTAGAATTATTCCTTCCACCGTCTAATGACATCTCCAGTTAAGATCAACAGGTGCCCACCTCCACTGTAAACAGTGTTGGTAGGGCACTGCTTCCCTCTCCTGAGGCGCTGGACGGTTTCTCTTTGAGGCCAACCGGTAGTCGTTCTCCATGGCCTCACCGAACTATTCCCCGGCGCAATTTTTTTTTTTTTTTGCCTCCACAACCACCCGGGCTGCAGTCTGCTTGGCCTGCCGGTACCCGTCAGCTGCCTCAGGAGTCTCACAAGCCAGCCAGGCCTGATAGGACTACTTCTTCAGCTTGACAGCATCCCTTACTTCCGGTCCACCACCGGGTTCGGGGATTGCCGCCTCAACAGGCAAAAAAACAACAACAAAAAAACAGGTGGTCCTGCACCCCCACATTATACCCCGGCAGAAGAGCTGGCCCTTGGGTTAAATGTGTACCGACCCATTGTGGAGGGCATCCCTTACTTTTCTATAAAGTAAGTTCTATAACTTTTTCTTAATAAATATATATTTATTTATACTGGACATTTTATAACACTCCTCTCCGTGATATGAGACTTTCTATCTTATTCTCACTTATAATAAAACAGTTTTATAATAAAATATGGAACTTGGCAGCGTCTCAGACAAAATGTGCATACTAAAAATACTGCACCTAATTTTAAACACATTTAGCCTTTTACCTTGCGTTTTCTCCTCTTCTCTCTCTGTCTCGTTTTTAACATGTGAGGCTCTTAACTGATTGAAAGATAAATAGCGCATTCTTATATCAGTGTTGTAATTGTTTAAAGCTAGACTGTATTTTTTTAAAGTTGATTTTTAGCAACAACAAAAAAAACACTTTCCACCAGTTTAATTTAGGTTATGTGTGCCTACATTAAAATTTACAACATTTTCTAAATGTGCTTCTGTAATTATGCTACAGTCTTTGGTGAAATTAATAGTTTTAGTTTTATCTAATCTGAATGGCAAACAATTACTTTGTCTCTATTTTGCACACATTCCCACATTTAATTGGTGTCTGATTACAGCAATAAACCCTTAATTCACTTAAAGCTGAATAATCTCAAGTGATTGTAAGTGTGATGATCATCTGCTAAATGAGCAACAACGACCACAATTCACTCATTCAGTCAGTGAAGCTCCCACAGCCGTTCATGAGAGTTTAAATGCTGGGGAATATTCCCATCTTCCCATAGGAGAAGAAGCAAGCAGGAGGAATTACTCCAGGATAAACTACGGACATACTATTGTAAAGATGGAGATTAAGGAAGAACCCTGCAGAATAAAAGATGAAGATACAGAGGAACAAATAGGTTGGTGTTTTCCTTCATTCTCTTTAATGACTGATGAGGAACATTAAGATGAAAACTGACATATAAAAATAACAAATAAATCTAGATACTTGTAGACTCAGTAGTAAACTTGATTTGTGCTAAATTGAGATTTTGAACAATGTTTATTTTTGTTTCTCAAGTATCCTTTCATTGAATAATGGGAATTCCATTTGTTTATTTTTAGATCTGATGGAAGTGAATGAAGACAAACTGCATCAGTCTCAAAAACCTCATTATTTCACAAATGAAGATGGAAATGCAATCATTTCAAAGACTGAAAAAAGTTTCAAACAAGCTGGAAAATCTGGAGTCGAAAGATCTTTAACTTGTTCTGAGTGTGGAAAGAGTTTCATATCTAAATCAAAGCTGAAAACACACATGACTATTCACACTGGAGAAAAGCCGTATACATGCACTCAGTGTGGAAAGAGTTACAGACATAATGGACACCTAAATGATCACATGAGAATTCACACTGGAGAAAAGCCTCATAGATGCACTCAGTGTGGAAAGAGTTACAGACTTAAAGGACACCTGAATGATCACATGAGGATTCACAGTGGAGAAAAACCGTTCACATGCTCTCAGTGTGGAAAGAGTTTCAGTTGCAAAAGTAGTCTCAACTCTCATCTGCGCATTCACTATGGAGTGAGATCACTAAGCTGTGATCAGTGTGATAATAAATTTGTTGTGAAATCAAGCTTAAGAAGACACCTTAAAACTCATACTGGTGTGAAGCCTCACTTTTGCTCTGTTTGTGGAAAGAGTTTTTCACAAGTGCAACATTTAAGAGAGCATGAGAGTATTCATACTGGTGTGAGACCTTATGTGTGCTCTGACTGTGGAAAGAGCTTTATTCTATCCGGCAACTTAAAACAACACCAGAGAGTTCACACTGGGGAGAAACCGCACAAGTGTTCACACTGTGAAAAGAGTTTCTCTCGATTAGGAAACCTGAAAGATCATGAGAGAGTTCATACTGGAGAGAAACCGCACCAGTGTTCTTCATGTGGGAAAAGTTTCAGCCAATGGTCTAATCTACAACGACATAAGAAAAAGCATTGTCTGAATGTGTTTAAGTGAGCAAAGTTCAGATCCATGATTGATTTGATATTCAGATTAAGCAAAAGATGGAATTACCTGAAATATATGACTTGATGAATTAAAATGATGAGTATTTATTAAACTAAATAAATACTCAAAAGTGATCTTCTGTAATACATTGTTCATACAAATGTTACAAATAACGTTGAAGGATATTTCTATCATCCTACATAGTTACATTGTACAAATACATTTTATCTGACCATGTAACTTGTAGTAGATAAATAACGATTACTCCCATAGCAAAGCAAAATTGAAGATGAGATCTCCTTTATGTCACATTTACATCTCCTAGACATAGCTACCACCACTACTATTATTACTAATCTATTAGGCTGCTACAAGGCTAAGGGGTTTTCGGGTTATTTAAACCTTTTCTTTAATGACTTTATGGGCCGTCAAGAGCCAGTCCCTTAGGCAGTCTATGTAGGACTGATCTAGCTCTCAGATTCAATCAAAAATATCTTTATTTGTGTTCCGAAGATGAACGAAGGTCTTACGGGGTTGGAACAGCATGGGGGTGAGTAATTAATGACTTAATTTTCATTTTTGGGTGAACTAACCCTTTAAAGTCTGCAACAAACTTGTACAATAACTCACTAAAAGAGTAAAGAAAATTATGAGAAATGAAAAGAAAAACTGTAAAAGAAAGCAATATGAAATGAAAAGAATGAAAATAAAATGTAAATGTAAAGACAAACAATGTTAAATGAAAAGAAAATATGCAAATAAGCCTTTAAATAAATGCCCTTCATAGGCTACCCTCATCTATACCATATATATATATATATATATATATCGCAGGGGGCTCCGAAGGGTACACTAGAGTTCCCCCCGTGGAGTGTTCTGCACACAACTCTATCCCCACAGCGCCTCCATATATATATATATATACTGTATATGTGTGTGTGTGTGTTTTCATTTAGGCTATAACACCGTCTTAAAATGTAAGGGATACTGGAGCTTGGTTGGGGTGGTGGGACTGCTCGCGGTGGGCGCTGCAAAATAAATTCCCTTATTTTCAAATTCAAAACTTGACAGGTGCATCTTGGCAACATCTTCACTCCTGCAAGTCTGTTTCTCTTTCAGACTGCAGCTCTCCAGTCTGTGATTGGTTATTAGTTTTTGATTCATCTCAATTCATTTCTTCCTGGAAATGCATGACGAGTTCCTGAGATCATGGAAGTCTCCTTTGATTTTTCACAAATTCTCAGCGGCCTCTTCTGCCTTCTCTGCCCTCGCAGGGGGCTCGGCTGAAGGGTACACTAGAGTTCCCCCCGTGGAGTGTTCTGCACACAACTCTATCCCCACAGCGCCTCCACCTGGCGTGGCAACCCTAAGCACATCTCCAAAGCCTGTAGGTTGTCTACTATGTTGGCAGAGACCTATAGAGCTGAGGGGCAGACTGCCTCCTCACTGCATGCTATGGCCATCCTTCAGGTCTACCAGTCCCACAGCCTGCCAAACGCCAGGCGATGCGGCGCTCCCATTACGGGCAGCTTCGAGATGGGAGGACCAGGGGAGAAACTCTTATTCCAAGGTCCTGACATTCCTATCTCTGAGCCCTCAGTGCCCCTCCGCCTTGCCACTCTCGTCCCCCTCTGTCACCCCTGTCAGAGCAGGCCCTTTTGAAACGCTAGTCCTTCCATGGCCTCTTCTGTCAGGACGTGGTATATAACTGTGCCCGCTCATCCGGAAGCTCTGCCTCCCACATCTGGGCCGGTCATTCCGCCCCACTACCAGCAGGTTTGGTTTTTGAAGCTTCCCAATCTGTACCACTATCTTGTGAGAACCATCAGGATTGGCTATGCAATTCAGTTTGTATTGTCTCCTCACTGCTTCCGGGGAATCCACTGTAATGCGATGGGTGGCAGGTTGGGTTGCAACCCAAAGGTTGTCATCGCTCCACCTTTTATGCTTCCGTTACTCCTTGAGAAGATACGAGACCGGTGCGTCGCGCAGGTGTCACTCATTAGTAATCACGCCACCGGTCTCGCGATTGTTCAGCAGTGTTGTGCCTGACGTGCTCAATGAAGACGTTCATGAACGCCTTCATATTTTAGGCGAACGTGAACTGAACGTACTGTATTACTTCCTGATGAACGTCACTGTGAGCGCATTCAAACAAACATGCAAACAAACGTGCTACCTTGTTTTATTTTAAAGTTTTAATCCATTTCTTCCTTATACTCAATTCAGTCGGGAAACCATGAAAACTTAAGTAGGGTTGGCGTTGTTGGTTAGATTTACAAAGTGGAACAGAGCAGTGACATATATAGCCTTCGTCTCAGGCATTGTTGAACTGTGTCGGAAGTGGACATGCACAAAGTTGACAAATCCCACCCATGAAACCCGGAAGCGTGATAATCCCCTATAACTCATAGACCAGCGGTGTAGACAAGGATCAGGAAAGACAATAGGATGTAGAATGCTCAGAAGTGTATGCTGAGGCTGATACCCCAGACAGCAAACTGACATTGAATCAACGGGGAAACGACGTCTCTCATGACATTGAAACAACGTTGATTTTGCTCATCGAATTAACGTTAAACCAACGTCAGACGCGGCATCCTTCAAAGCTAAATGAAAATCGAAAATTGGTTTGCTTTCATAACGTTGAAACAACGTTGATTTCAAGTTGATTTTCCGTTAGTTTTGAAAGAATGACGCGTCTGACGTTGGTTCAACGTTAATTCGATGAGCAAAACAATGTCAGATCAACGTTGTTTTGATGTCATGTTTCCACTTTGATTCAATGTCAGTTTGCTATCTGGGACAAGACTTCGCAGGGAGCCATGCGACCAAGCAGCTTTTATACAGGAGATAAGTGGCTGCACCTGTGCAGGTAATCAGGGATCATGGGACTCAGACTGAGAGGAGGATAGATAGGAAATGTAGTTCAGCATTCGGGAGACTGTAATCTTTGATAACTAGGGAGAGGTGTTGAAGAGCGATCTATGACAATAATGCACATACTAAAAATACTGCACCTAATTTAAAATACATTTAGCCTTTTACCTTGCGTTTTTTCCTCTTCTCTCTCTGTGTCTCGTTTTTAACATGAGGCTCTTAACTGATTGAAAGATAAACAGCGCATTCTTATATCAGTGTTGTAATTGTTTAAAGCTAGACTGTATTTTTTTAAGTTGATTCTTAGCAAAAAAACTTTACTTTTAAACTTTACATTACTATGACCTAAACTTTCTAAATGTGCTTCTGTAATTATGCTACAGTCTTTGGTGAAATGAATAGTTTTAGTTTTATCTCATCTGAATGGCAAACAATTACTTTGTCTCTATTTTGCACACATTCCCACATTTAATTGGTGTCTGATTACAGCAATAAACCCTTAATTCACTTAAAGCTGAATAATCTCGAGTGATTGTAAGTGTGATGATCATCTGCTAAATGAGCAACAACGAGCACAATTCACTCATTCAGTCAGTGAAGCTTCCACAGCCGTTCATGAGAGTTTAAATGCTGGGGAATATTCCCATCTTCCCACAGGAGAAGAAGCAAGCAGGAGGAATTACTCCAGGATAAACTACGGACATACTATTGTAAAGATGGAGATTAAGGAAGAACCCTGCAGAATAAAAGTTGAAGATACAGAGCAACAAATAGGTTGGTGTTTTCCTTCATTCTCTTTAATGACTGATGAGGAACATTAAGATGAAACCTGGCATATAAAAATAACATCTAAATCTAGCTACTAGTAGACTCAGTAGTAAACTTGATTTGTGCTAAATTGAGATTTTGAACAATGTTTATTTTTGTTTGTCAAGTATCCTTTCATTGAATGATGTGAATTCCATTTGTTTATTTTTAGATCTGATCGAAGTGAATGAAGACAAACAGCATCAGTCTCAAAAAACTCATAATTTCACAAATGAAGATGGAAATGCAGTCGTTTCAAAGACTGAAAAACAAGCTGGAAAATCTGTAGTCGAAGGATCTTTAACTTGTTCTGAGTGTGGAAAAGGTTTCATATCTAAATCAAAGCTGAACACACACATGACTATTCACACTGGAGAAAAGCCATTCACATGCATTCAGTGTGGAAAGAGTTACAGACTGAAAGGACACCTAAATGATCACATGAGGATTCACAGTGAAGAAAAGCCTTATAAATGCACTCAGTGTGGAAAGAGTTGCATATCTAAATCACAGCTGAACACACACATGATGATTCACACTGGAGAAAAGCCTTATACATGCACTCAGTGTGGAAAGAGTTACAGACTTAAAGCACACCTAAATGATCATATGAGGATTCACACTGGAGAAAAACCTTTCACATGCTCTCAGTGTGGAAAGAGTTTCACTCAGAAAAGTCATCTCAAGACTCATCTGCGCTCTCACTCTGGATTGAGATCATTCAGCTGTGATCAGTGTGATAAAACATTTGTTTTTGAATCAGGCTTAAAAAAACACCTTAAAACTCATTCTGATGTGAAGCCTCACTTTTGCTCTGTTTGTGGAAAGAGTTTTTCACAACTTGGATCTTTAAAAGAGCATGAGCGTATTCATGATACTGGTGTGAAACCTTATGTGTGCTTTGACTGTGGAAAGAGCTTTACTTATTCCAACAACTTAAAACAACACCAGAGAATTCATACTGGAGAGAAACTGCACAAGTGTTCACACTGTGGAAAGAGTTTCACTCAGTTAGGAAGCCTGAAAAATCATGAGAGAGTTCATACTGGAGAGAAACCGCACCAGTGCTCTTCATGTGGGAAAAGTTTCAGCCAATGGTCTAATCTACAAAAACATAAGAAAAAGCATTGTCTGAATGTGTCTAAGTGAGCAATGTTCATGCAGATCCATGATTGATTTGATATTCAGATTAAGCAAAAGATGGAATTGCCTTAAATATATGGCTTGATGAATTAAAATTATGTCAATATTTGTACAGCTAACGCCTTTAACCTTGGAATTTTTTTGTAGATATGTCATAAATTGTGCAGTTATTTTCACTGTCCATTCTGTGCCCCCACATATTTCAAAGCCTCAAAGTTCAAAAACATATAAAGGGACACTTCAACAGAGCAGTGCAACATGAAGGTAATATTTGCAAACATCTTTTGTTTTGTTTGTTTGTTTTTTGAAAGATCATAATAAGACGTTTGTGACAGTGCAATCGTAGGCCTATACTGTTGTATTCCAAGGAGTCGCCCCTGCCGAACCCAGCAACATTTTATGATTATCCAAAGTGACTTATGTTTTTTTTTATGCAATTGAAGACGAAAAGTAAAGTCACAAACACAATTCTTTCTTTCATTTTTTTCTTACAGCAAGATGATGTTAGGTGATTGTTAAATAAAGTAGGCCTACAGAATTGTTTATTGTTTTGTCTATTCTTATTTGTTTTGCATTTTTACATTCAAAATGTATTTGTTATTATGTTAGCATGGTAATGTTAATTAGTCCATTATCGGTTGAACTGAACATTGTAGCAAATATCACATACCATTTTTCAGAAGATAGTTCAATCTGTAGTTGAATCCCTTCCATCAGTGACACAATGAGGGTTTTTTTTTTTTTTTTGGCACATGTATTAAGCAGTGAACGCAAATTATTTGGATAACTAAATAAAAAGAGACCGTAATTGCATCCTATTGTTTTCAAATGCATTTGGATAAGGGTGCGCTGTCTCGAAAAATGAACGGTCTGTGCGGGTGTTATACGATCTTTTGAACAGCAGGAGGCGCTGTCTCGAAAAACGAGGGGTCTGAGAATGCGGAACTCTGGTTGGGGGACTGTCGATGCAGATGCAGGCTCAGAGTCTGCAGCTTCATAATAATATTGAGTTGGTAGGAGGAGCGCGAGCTGTGATCATCGCGTATATATGTGTAAATCATATTTTATATTTCTGTTGTTCTTTCCCTGTTCTATTTCTATTTAATAACGCGCAGTTGTTACTGGAGTCTTTGGCAAACTGCCCAGTGTGTGCGTGGGATACGAAGCTGATAATAGCCTAAATAACCACTGTGGAATATCAGGTGAGTGTTTGCTTACATTTGGCTACAACAATTCAGGCAATCTATCCGCTCCCCTCTGTGTAAAGTGTTACAACATCTAACCTTCTTTCACTCTCTATGCATCTAACGTTGACATGAAACGGTCTATCTTATTCTCACTTTAAATATGGAGCTTGGCAGCGTCTCAACTATTTAAGAGTTCAAAAACAGATATATAAACAGGCTAATAGACTATTATGTTTGCCAAAATTAAACTTTAAAATATTTAAATGTGCTAATATCTAAATGTGCTGCTGGAAATTATGCTACAGTCTTTGGTGAAAGAAATAGTTTTAGGTACAATTACTTTGTCTCTATTTTGCCCACATTCCCACATTTAATTGGCTTTATGCCCAGCTCCACTACTTCCTGAACTTCAGCCAGCTCCTTGTTTCCTGTCTGCCATTATTGGCCAAATTGATTAATTCAGGTGTGTCTGATTATTGTTGCCATGACTACTGAGGTCAGGTACACCTGAATTAATCAATTTGGCCAATAATGGCAGACAGGAAACAAGGAGCTGGTTGAAATTCAGGAAGTAGTGCAGCTGTGCATAATGTCCATGTCCATTGGTGTCTGATTACAGCAATAAACCTTAATTCACTGAAAGAGCAACATGCAGGTTGAATTTATTTTTGAATTAATACTTTAAATTATCTGCAGAGGTCTTTTAAAAACACATATGTAGAAATTATTAAAGTCCCCGTGAACCGGAAGTTGCAAACGATTTTTCTCCAGTGCTGTGACGTATTTCCAAGTGAAACGGAATATTGAACAGAGGGCAGGGTTTTACTCTAGCGCTCCTCCTCTCCATCTCTCGCCCATAGCAAACTAACGGTTTGAGGGGACAGGGGAATGGTTAAGCGTTTCCCCACCCAAACTGTGAAACCTACGTCATCCGAAAAAGAAACCGTTCCAGACCGGAAGTAACTTTTCAGATTTTGATTAAAGATTACTAAGGTAAAACATTTTTTTAATATATATTCACTTGCATGGATTAATTGTTCACCACAAGACTAGTAATATGCGCTAACAAAGTAAATAGGTTCAATTTTGATTTCACGGGAACTTTAATGAAATCTCATTTGATGTAGAGATTTTGATAAAAAATGCGCTAGGCTCTGGAATGCGCCTTTCAAACGCCGAGGCAAATTAAAGAGCTTGCGGTCCGCTTTTTCATTGTTGGGTGTTGATGTAGTTAGAGCAGTAGTGAGAGACAGAGAGTTTTAGAGAAGCCATAATGGTAAATTATTGTGTTTGTCCTGGTTGCACGAATTCCAGCCTGTCAGGAGGACATCGTGTCCATAATTTTCCTTCTAGGAAAAACAAGCCATCCAGTGGAAAAGTGCCATTAGACTGCTGTTATTGTAGCTTAGGTATTGTCATTGTTTTTTTGTTGTTATTGCATGGTCATTAGTCAATGTAGATAGTGCTAACCAGCTGCATTATCACTGTCAGCGTAGAATATGAGAAGACAAAACGTTGCTAGCTTAAATTAAGACAATCTAAATGGATGTTTAATCAAGAACAAAGGTCGAACGTATGTTTGCTAAAGCAGATTTATTACAAAACACCAAGGTACTAGCCATATGGTAGATGAACCAGCGTTAGCCACGGTGCTAACTTACATGAACTCACCAAGTCACTTGCCCTATTCGCCACTGGTTTTCTTGACACCACAACAATACCGTTACTTCTCTCCTCTGCCCATTGTTCCTCCTCTGATCTCCCCCTGGCTTCTATCTCGCCTAGGAGGCTCATAATTATAGGCCTGTGGGCCATCATAGGCATATTCGTCAACATTGGCGAACTCGGTTACTTCATTCGCATCCATTGTAACCTGAGCTTGAACTTGAACAGACTCCCTCGCCGATCGTCACTTCCAGTTAGTGCTTCATAGATGCGGAAGTTATTTTATCACAATTTGTCTCAAAATATTGTTAATGGCTAAATATATATTACTCCAGTTTATATATAAATATATATTACTCCAGTTCTCTTTAAAGCTGGATCTCAAGAGATTGTAAGTGTGATGATCATCTGCTAAATGAGCAACAATGACCACAATTCACTCCTTCAGTCAGTGAAGCTCCCACAGCCGTTCAGAGTTTAAATGCTGGGGAATATTTCCATCTTCCCACAGGAGAAGAAGCAAGCAGGAGGAATTACTCCAGGAGAAACTACAGACATACTATTGTAAAGATGGAGATTAAGGAAGAACCCTGCAGAATAAAAGATGAAGATACAGAGGAACAAATAGGTTGGTGTTTTCCTTCGTTCTCTTTAATGACTGATAAGGAACATTAAAGGGATACTCCACTTTTTTGGAAATAGGCTCATATTACCACTCCCCCAGAGTTAAACAGTTGAGTTTTACAGTTTTCAAATCCATTCAGCCGATTTTTTGATATTTAGAAGAATATCAGTAACCAGACAGTTTCTGGTCTCATTTACTTCCATAGTAGGAAAAAATATACTATGGAAGTCAATGAGACCAGAAACTGTCTGGTTACTGATTTTCTTCTAAATATCAGAAATTGGCTGAATGGATTCGAAAACGGTAAAACCCAACTGTTTAACTCTGGGGGAGTGGTAATATGAGCCTATTTCCAAAAAAAGTGGAGTATCCCTTTAAGATGAAAACTGACATATAAAGATAACGTCTAAAATAGGGATGTCAACGACTAATCAACGATCAATTAATTGTCGATAATACATTTAATCAATAAAACTTATCGATCATCAATTAAGCTGGATCATGCGCGTAACAACCACGAAACATGTAAGCGAGCGCGCTGGTGTGGTGAAGTGTTCAGTCCCACTGAATGACACAATAGGCATAAAAAAAATTTGTTTGGTTCCGGTTTCCGACCGACCCTGTCAATTTATGTGCGACCCAAATTTATTTTATGAGCTTGGGGAAGAAATAATAAAAATTAAATAAATACACAAATAAAAAACTTTGAGGCAAACTATAAATTTACTTTTTTGTACAGCACCGTATTTTTATAGCACATGATGAAGATGCCTGTTGTCGTCCAGCAATGCTATTAACAAACGAGGCAGATATCGTTCACATATCGTTCGTCAAACTGAAATATAATACATATTATACAAGTCTATTTTTAATTTCTATTTTTCACACATACAAAAACATGCATTCATAGGCATGCACACACCACACTAATACCTCCGTCCGCCTAGTTTTATTAGAAATCATCCCAAATCCCAATCATGATCCCAATCCCCTCTTCTGCTGTCTACCACTTCTTTCGCCATGTATTTGTTCGTTTCTTTTATTATTTTATGCAATCCAAAACACTAACCTGCCGCGCTTCGTATCTCCAGAGCCCTTCTAACTTGTCCGCTGCTTGTCGGGTAAAAGAGAGAAAGTAAAAGAGAATTTTACTCGCCCGAACGGACAAGCAGACTGATTAGAACATCAATAACAAACAAAAAAATAACTAGGGAATCACTAAACGAGAGAATGATTCTGATTTTATTACATTTATTGCAAGTTGTGATCAATTGTGGATAATAAATGTACTGTTTTACTGATGGAAAGGTTGCGCTGTTGACGCTCGTGCAGAGAAATCTACACACGTGAGCGGAGCACACACACACACTCAGTAAACAACATACTGCCTATAAAAAATCTAAATGTGGAGTTTTTATATTTTAACATATGTTGAGCAGCCTCAATTATTTTTCCTGAATACCATCACAATTGAAAATGTGACATTGATTTCCTACAACAGTTCAATAAACAATTAAAATTTCAGTCACTTACATTTTAGAAGTAATATTGGGTATTTTTGTTCTATTTCAGCAGCGAAAATAGTTCCAAAGAAAAATTCATCCTGTTTATATTACTGAATGATTCAGCATTTTGAACGAATCGGTTGAGTCAAAGATTCAATAACCCATTCATAAACATCTCATTCTTGAATGAATCAACCGTTTGAATGAATTGTTTGAATTAATGAATCAATAACTCACTCATTAAAACGGCCGCCTGACGCCACCTATTGGCAGTTTAGTGTTATGTTTATAAGTAGCTTGGGATAATTCTTTCCAATGTTTCTTATTTGTACATTTAAATCAATATCATAACATTATTTTATGAAATTGTAATTTTTCAGTGTAAATGATTTAATTTGATCAGCCCTATTAACAGTATGCTTCATCTTTCATTTTAAATTCCTGAGATCAATAAATTCAATTATTTAGAATAGGACGACACTATAGGGCATTTAATAATATTGGGGGAGGGGATGCCCTTAAAGGTGCAGATATTACAATATGCCGATTTAAATACCAAAGCTGATTGAACACTGATGAGAATATTGCTTGAGAATAAAAAATAAATAAATGTTTAAAATCCGGACAAGCAACTTTTTTACTCGGACAAGTGAATTTTGAACTTTCCGTTTTGAACTCGGACAGATTTACTTGTCAAAATTAAACATGATTTAATGACTCGTAAATGTAAGTGCACATTGATGGCCTAAGACACGAAACGAGCGGTTTGTGTGAGAAAACGAACAGTATTTATATTGTTTTTACCTCGTGTAATCACAGTCACGTCCAAGTGATCTGAATCAGTTGAGCAATGTCCATCTGAACCGTGTCCAACGTTCCGCCGGAAGTGATCGCTTGCGCGTCGACGTCACTCACAGAGATTTCAGAAGTTTTACCTTTCATTGTGAAGATCTAAACATATTATTTAGATATAGCGAAATCGTCTTCCATTGCGATTTCATGTATATCTAAATGTGTTTAGTGAAAGGTAAAACTTCCGAAATCTCTGTGTAAATAATGAGTGATGTTGACGCGCGAGCAATCACTTCCAGCGGAACGTTGGACATGGTTCAGTTCGGTTCAGTTGGACATTGAACAACTGATTCAGATCAGTTGGACATGGCTTTGGATACACGAGGTAAAAATGATATAAATACTGTTCGTTTTCTCACACAAACCACTCGCTTCGTGTCTTAGGCCATCAATGTACGAGTTTACATTTACGAGTCATTAAATCATGTTTAATTTGATTTGACTGAAAAATGTCAAAATTGAAAATACTGTGGAAACAAAGACACCCACATCTTGGATGCCCTTGAGGCAAGCTAAAACATATCAAAAATTCATTTCAAAGTGAACTATCCCTTTAATCTCGAGCCCTGAATAATTTCCTACCTATCCCTTGCTGCCACTGAAAAAAAAAAAAAAACAAAAAAAAACTCCCCACCGACCCATGACCTCAACTGACAACCAACCGGAACCAAACTTTACATTACACTGGATTATAAAGAGAACAATATTGTAATAAAACATTGTGAATTATTCGTGTTTATGTTGCGTTGTTCCAGGAAGAGCGTGACCACCGCAACACGAGTCATTCTGCAACATGACATCATGACTTTTGCGTAAACATATACGCCACTTTCGAGTCAGGTGGCGTGTTATCTCTACGCATTTTGAGCTATCCGCGTGTATGTCTACGCCATTAACGTCCGCGTCATTCCGGGTGTCTGAAGACGCAGTCAAATCTCCAGTCATAAATGCCATTAACCCCAGTGACGGTTAAGTTTAGGGATGGGGTTGAGGTAAGTCATATCTTTTTTTTACCTAGGATGGTAAGGGAACAGTCAAAAATGCCATTAACCCCAGTGACGGTTAGGTTTAGGGACGGGGTTGAGGTAAGTCATATATTTAAATAACGTTAAGTCAACGGCGTTCATAAACACGCTGAAAGGCGATTATGCGTCTTGATAGCACGCCAAAAATGGAAATACGAATTGGCGTGTCATACTCACGCTACTTCATGAGATCAGCCTGCATTCTGAATGGCACGTAACTTCACTTGTGCATTCACGTCATTTTGTGCAGATATAATTTAGCAATATTATGTTTATTTTTTATATCTGATTAATATCAAATAGGATTGTTTTTTTAGTTAAATAAATAAACGCTAACAAGGTGCTCAACGGTTATTCACTCAGCGTGCGGCTCGGCTCAAGCAGAATGCATGACTAATAATAACGATGATTAATTTGGGACTGTCATATTACATAACATGAGAACACTATTTTATTAAATGGTTTTGAATTCATTGGGTTTAGTTGCCGTTTTCAGTGCGTTGTTCCAGCACGTCCACAACAGTCACGTTCTGAAAAGCACGCATCTGAGGCGGCATTGGTGACAATTGGCATTGGTGTATCTGTCATTATATTTATATATTAAATAATTAATTTAATTTATCAATCACATCAAAAAAATTCCAAATGATTTGGAAATTTTTTGATGTGATTGATAAATTAAATTAATTATTTAGTAGGATTTGGAACAAATCCTACTAACCCTTTATTTAGATAAAAAAAAAAAAACATTCTTATTAATTTGGTGATAGCTTTTTGAGCAGCATTTGCAGACCCTGTAATGCTATTGATGCTAATGATTAATCAATTCATTGATCGTTAATTTAAACAATGATTGATCATGGGAATTTGTGAAAATTGACATCCCTAATCTAAATCTAGATTCTAGTAGACTCAGAAGTAGACTGGATTTGTGCAAAATTGAGATTTTGAACAATATCTACTTGTGTTTCTCATGTATCCTTTTATTGAATTATGGGAATTTCATTTGTGTATTTTAGACCTGATCGAAGTGAATGAAGACAAACAGCATCTTTTTCTCACAAATGAAGATGGAAATGCAGTCGTTTCAAAGACTGAAAAAAGTTTCAAGCAAGCTGAAAAATGTGGAGTCGAAAGATCTTTAACTTGTTCTGAGTGCGGAAAGAGTTTCCTATCTAAATCAAACCTGAACACACACATTAAGATTCACACTGGAGAAAAGCCTTATACATGCACTCAGTGTGGAAAGAGTTACAGACATAATGGACACCTAAATGATCACATGAGGATTCACAGTGGAGAAAAGCCTTATACATGCACTCAGTGTGGAAAGAGTTTCAGTCGCAAAAATAATCTCAACACTCATCTGCACCGTCACGCTGGAGTGAGATCATTCAGCTGTGATCAGTGTGATCATACATTTGTTGTGAAATCAAGCTTAAGAAGACACCTTAAAACTCATACTGATGTGAAGCCTCACTTTTGCTCTGTTTGTGGAAAGAGTTTTTCACAACTTGAATCTTTAAAACTACATGAGCGTATTCATACTGGTATGAGACCTTATATGTGCTTTGACTGTGGAAAGAGCTTTATTCTTTCCAGCAACTTAAAAAGACACCAGAGAGTTCACACTGGAGAGAAACCGTACAAGTGTTCACACTGTGGAAAGAGTTTCTCTCAGTCAGGAAACCTGAAAGATCATGAGAGAGTTCATACTGGAGAGAAACCGCACCAGTGCTCTTCATGTGGGAAAAGTTTCAGCCTATTATCTAATCTACAACGACATAAGAAAAAACTTTGCCTGAAAGTGTTTAAGTGAGCAATGTTCAGATCCATGACTTGATTTGGTATTCAGATTAAGCAAAAGATGGAATTACCTTAAACATAGTAAGTTAATTAAAAATTAGGAGAAAGGTTTTTTTTTTTTGCATTGTAAGTGTAGCACGTGTTGTTCTTCGCGACACCTGTATTGATCCTCTGTTTTGTTGCACATGTGCAGTAAACCCTGAGTGTCACTGTATACAAAATGAACTGAACAGTAAAGCAACAATGTGAAAATTCTCGTGTCAGTCTCATCGCTCAAAGCAGTGCGTGGTCATCTCATATACAGATAAAATAATATTTCAGAAAACTAGTGTGTTGCCATCAAATTATGAAGGGGAGTCTTTGAGGAGTTTAATTATTTTCATTGGAGATATGAGGCATGTGTGAAACAATATCAAAATAGTCAAATATCAAATCAAATATCATCCCTATCACAAACAACTTTGTGGCGAGCGGGCTGAGCCCGAGGGCAGTTGAAGAATTTCTCCAGGCCGTTGGCGTGATTGCTGATGAGCGACCCCTGCACGCACCGGTCTCGTATCTCTCACAGAGGAGCGGAAGCATAACCGGAGGAGCGACGACGGAGTTACAAACCGGAGGAGTTACAAACATTTGACATTTTATAATAAATATAATTCAGTGTTTATTTCAGTCCAGGGGCTCGTTCTTCGTACGTTGCTTAAAACATCCGAGATCAAATGAGAGATCTAAGATGAGATCATCGTGCTAATCATGATCCGGCTAATTGGGTTCTTCGAACACACCTGTTGTTTATGATTAGGATCGCTGGATTGAGTTATCTGAGATAACTGCGCGTTCTCGCGTTGGTTTAAAAGGGGACATGTATCGATAGCAGAACCAGTGATCAGCAGCGCTGCTATTGGCTGTTCAGCATGGCCAAAGAACACGCCCAGTTTTTCTCCCAAGCAGAGCAAGCGCTTTTAATGCAAGATTATGCGCGAAAGTCAGTCTTTAATTAAAACGCCAGGGAACACCTCAAAGTGTGCAAAAGCCAGGAGAGAGTGCTGGCAAAACTAGAAGACAAATTAAATGCGTTTGTGGTGACCATGTTAGATGTTTTAATAACTTATTATTATTTTATTTTTATTTTCATAATTTCATAATTACTTTGTTCATTGTAATGTCGAGTCACCGCACTATAATAATGGACATGGTCGAAGTGAAGTACAAAAATATTCTACTTAATGGTAATTTTAGGCCTTATAGGCCTACTAGTGAGCCACTGTTAAATAAATGATTGTCTGTTTATAAAAGCAACCAGGAAAAAGGCTGAGAAAAAAATAATAATGATGCTCCTGACCCTGGCAGAAGAGCTGACCCTTGGGTTGAGTGTGAATTGCCCTGTTGTGAAGGGCATCCCTGGGTTCAGCTCTTCCAGACCCACATCAGGGACCAGTAGCAACACCTTCATTACTGGGAAATGAGATTTAAATTATCTTTGTACACTATGAAATAATTTGTTGCTGCATTAAATGAAGTAGACCTATAATCCAAATTGGCTGGTTTAGTCATTTCAACTGTTAAATCTTGAGTAATGATAAATTGCTTTGTCTTTTGAAAGTAAAAACTGATAAACTTATGTTAATGTAAAAATATTTTGCCATGAGTTATCAATCACATTGCACTGGAGAGTGAAGAAAACTTCTCAGATGACTGTCCTTTGGAGGAAGTACTTTAATTTTAATTGTGCCTATGCCTATTATTTCTGACAGGAGTCCACATGCACAGAAAGGCCTACAGAAGAGTCTGCACACAGCAGTGATATAGGGGTGGGCAGTGTAGAGACAACTTTTGCTTTTTATTTGTTGCATGAGGCATGTGTGACACAAACGACACAGGGTTAAATTCGTTCCCTATATGAGTCTTCAACAGAAAATAGAGTATTTTTTTGAAAAAACAAAAATCAGGGCGAGAAACAGAACTTGACTAAGAAAAAATTGCACTAGAAATAGAGTTGCTTCAAAATAAACTTCAGAGTAAAATCACACAGAGTACTATTGCTGACCGTGCATAATATCTTTTAAAAAGATGACTGAATAACTGGCTTTTCTTTACAAAGAACAATTGAAATAAAACTCTAAGCAAATAGAGTTTTGCAAATTTGTCTTGTCTTTTATTTTAGGCTTAATTAAACTTTTTTTTTCCTTTTTCTGATGTTGGCAGTGTTGTGTAATATGGCACATGCAATGTCACAGGCCCTGTCAGGTGCAACCCTCAGGCTTTTTAGACCCTGAAATCTTCCCTTTAGTTGGCCAAAGCTCATGTCATTGTGGCAAAACAAACAAACAAAAAAAAAAACAACTAAGAGCACTACTTTGTGAATGGCACAACAGAAAGCTTATCAAGTTCTCCGCATCTCCAATAGTGTAAATGAAGCCACTCGCAAATAATTTTAGGGCAATGCAAACATGTTGTACTGTTGTTGAAGCCCGACATCGAATCAAACATTAATGTGCATTTCCAACAAAATAATAATGTATTTAAACGACACCCTCACGACGATCGTTTCACGAGAAAACAAAAATAAATCTCAGAAATTAAGCTACACTATCGCGCTGCGCTGAAGGACTTCCCGTATCAGCCGCGATCTAATCCTGTTTACATGAAATAAGCCTGCTCGCGAGCAGGTTCAAGCTGACGGACTTGTTGCTATGACAGCAAGTCCAGGATGAGCGTCGAAGAACCAAACGATCCAAGATCATGCCAAATCGCCAACAATCAAATCCAGCTAACTGAGTTAGCGACGTACGAAGAACGAGCCCCAGGTGAGGAATAGGGTCTTATCTAGCGAAACAATCTGTCATATTAAAAATAAAAATAAATATAGCTGCAAGCAGCAATTAACGGGGCCAAGTACAATCAGACGACAAGACATGCCAACATGTGTCAGACCAACTGCAGCAAGGAGCAATTGAAGACATTTAAAGATGAATTTAGGCAAAATGGCTGAAAAATCACATACAATTAACTAAAAATGTGTTTTCTACATATCACTCCGCTGCTGCTGTAGACTGCGCTAATAAATACAGGGAACAATAGGTTACTATCGTAACCCCGGTTCTCTGAAACATCGAGTGGAGAGATCCACCTATGGGAAGGGCATCCGTACCTGACCTCTGCAGAAGCATCCAATTGCACCAAGTCTGGCTAGACAGACAGAAGCACGCAGCCAATGCCCAGTGATGCCACACCCCCTCGCCTACGGGCATATAACAGCTGGGCGCGCTGCTATTCCTCAGTAAGTATATTCGCTTCTCGTGCGGCAAGTGGGGCAAAGCTGGTGGATCTCTCCACTCGATTTTTCAGAGAACTGGGGTTACGATAGTAACCTGTTGTTCTCTTTCATCATCTCGTGTTTGAGATCCACCTATGGGAGAGACATGGACAGCTCCCCGATTGCCCAATACACTCACAGTGAGGTTCTGAAGGGCAGAGAAAGACGGTCACCTCAGGGAGGCGGTGCCTGACACGTCCATTAATCATGAGCTTGCAAAGGTGAAGCCACACCTAACTACTGTGGACAAGCAGGACATGAAACATGCATGAGACACATACATGATAGTAACCCCAACCCACCAAGGCATATAACCTATACCCAAAAGGGGAGGTAAATGTTTGGTGACAGGAATGAACATGACAGGAATCTTATTGGTATTGTCCAACAGGGTTACAGGGAAGAGCTAAGAAGACCTCACCCCTAAAACCGGATGTTCTACCGAGGTACTGGTGACATCCAGCCGGTAGTAACGCACAAAAGGTATGAGGAGAAGCCCAACTGGCAGCGGAGCAGATGTCCTGCAGTGACACTCCCCTAAACAGAGCCCAAGAGGTGGCTAAGCCCCTTGTGGAATGAGCTCTGATGCCCCTTGGGGCTGCACTCCATTTGCTTCGTAAGCCACAGCTATAGCGTCCACAACCCAATGTGAGAGACATTGCTTCGAAATGGAACTCCCTCTGTGCAGGGGGCCCATGAAACAAAGAGCTGGTCGCTCTTCCGGAAGGCGTTGGTCCTGGTCATATGCCTATAAGCAAAGACTGGACACATTCACTCTGATCCTCTAGAGAGGTAAAAGGTGGAGGGTGAAAGGCGGACAGCTCCAACACCTCTGAAGTGAATGCAGGGAAGCACTTGACACCAGCATGAAGGCCGGGTTAGGCTTAAGGGAAACCTTATCTCCACTGAGGGAGAACTAGAGCACAAGGGATGAACCGAGAGTGAATGTAGCTCACTAACACGTTTGGCAGATGCCAAGGCCAAGAGCGAAGCTGTCTTGGAGGACAGAAGCTTAAGGGAAATACTATCCAGAGGCTCAAAAGGATATTGAGACAGTGCTCAGACAGTTCTGCTGATGACTGGTAAAGAGCGGTGTACACCCTTCATAAAACTACGGAATAGAGGGTGCTGCCCGACAGTCGAGCCCTCAAAAACCACATGACAGGCTGAAATCACAGCTAAGTAGACCTTAATGGTAGAAAAGGACCTGCCTTTTTCCATGAGGTCTTGAAGGAAACACAAAATGTCAGGAACTGAGCACTGATAAGATGTGAGACCGCGTCCATCGCACCACCCTTCGAACACTTGCCACTTACAGCCATATAAGGGCCTTGTAGAGACGGCCCGGCATACTGAATAATGGCGACCACACATGGCGAAAGCCCAAGTGCGTTCAGGTTCGTCCTCTCACGGGCCAGGCCCAGAGAGCCACCCTGTCCGGGTGGGGGTGGTAAGTCTTCCTGTTGGCTAGGGACAATAGGTCCGTGCGAACGGGAAGGCGCCACGGCTCGGAGTATAACAGAGGAATTATCTCCGCCAGCCACGGTGCTTTGGGCCACCTGGGTGCTATCAGAATGAGGGACAGGCCCTGCTCTCTCACCCTGGCCAATGTGTGAATTATCAGGCACAGGGGAGGAAAAGCATACAGGAGTACTCTGGGCCATGGGTGGGCCATTAGTTATGTATTTAGTTATGTGTTGGGATACACAAGGACCGAAGCCTTCATCACACAACGTCCACTAAGAACGCATGGGCTATGCAGCCGCAACTGAGCTGTGTGAGCCCAGCTGGTTGATTTGTGGTTGAGGCAATGTCGCCATCTTTAGGGTGGACTCGGGGTGACATACATGGGATCAGAGAGATTTGCTCTTTATGTTGACAGATATAAAAAATCTGCACGAATTCATTTGATTCGTTTAATAATAGTGTGTGTTTTGTGTTGGGAAACACTGGGGCCGAAGCCTTTAATAACTGGGTGAGGGGAACCAAGTGTGTGCGGTGTGTTAACACTGCTACATACTTTTCCTCACGACAGCCCACTGTAGCTTGGCAGCCACGAGACGGGATTACCCGACTGTCTGAGGGAGACCCCGTGTCTTTTGGACAAGGGTTCCGGGACTGGGAGAATACGGAGGGCTCGTGGCCCATGAACGCGGGCTCGAGGCTCCCAGTGGTCGAACAACAGGTGGGCTGCTAGCGTTCGGGGCCGCCTTCCTAGGAAGGCATAAATAGAAAACCTCAACACGTAATAGTAACACATCAAGGGGTTAACAGCAAGGGGTTAACAGGGGTTAACAGAGACAGTGTTAACAGCTTCGCGAACACTGGAAAAAACGTATTAAGAGTTGTTTCCTCAGACTGGGCGGTGGTCCCCGCGCTTACACGTCGTAAATATTCCTATCCTGGTGGCACTCTATGGGGCTGGCCACACAATGTTGAGATGAACGGCCGTTCGTCACAAACTTCCAGGAGGATGGACTGAGGCAAAACCGCGTGAGCGCTAGCCTAGGGAACGTCAAAAAGACCACGTCATCCTCGTTGCTGGAACCGACCGGTTCGTCAACGAGAGCGAGGTTTTCCCGCGAAGATGTCCTCATCAGGCAATGCGAATTTGGGCTGAAGACCACCCTTATATTTTATTGGTGGCACTCTGGGAGTTCCCCGCTAGCGCGTCATCCTAGTGTGTCCCCCATCCGAGTAAGAAATGCCAAGCACGGTGCGCTGGATAGTGCAACTAAAAGCCGGCTTAGTAAAAGCTACATGGGCAGCAATTACAATGACCCCAATTCTCCGGGTTCTCCCATGCTTCTTGCGCATGTTAAGCCCAAGCGGACCACGCAGGACGAGAGGGTCCTTAGCAGCGATGAGCACCACACGCTGCCGGGCTCATCGTGATAGACTGTTCCCAGGGGGAAGCAGCTGTTTAGACGGTCACATAGCCATGGGTGGGCTAGCGGTGAAGAACTCGGAAAATCTGTGGTGGGCAGCCATGTAAGGAGGAGCAGGTGAAGGAGAGTGAGAGCTCGGCGGCTCCGGATGCAAAATACACAGCGGATAGGCTGAAGAAACGACTGTCACTCACATCTGGCGGAGGCTGATCTGGCAATATGTCCTCCTGTAGACTCCAAAGTGAGCAGCGTAACGTTAATCCAACCGAACTGTGTCAGTGCAGAGATCGCGAGAAGAGAATGTCAACTGAGGAATAGCAGCGCGCCCAGCTGTTATATGCCCGTAGGTGAGGGGGTGTGGCATCACCGGGCATTGGCTGCGCGCTTCTGTCTGTCTAGCCAGACTTGGTGCAATTGGATGCTTCTGCAGAGGTCCGGTACCGATACCCTTCCCACAGGTGAATCTCGAACACGAGATGATGAAAGAGAACAAAGTATAACTATTGCAATGCAATGAAAGGGTGGTTTGATTTCTAACATTATTCTCCCGATAGACATTTATATCGATAGTCTGACATTATATATGATGTGCTGTTGGTGAACTGTGGAGTGGGTAAAACTGTTTTTAATGGCAGGCTAGCTTTTTAAACTGTCTCCACTGATAAATAACAGTAAGGCTAACTTGGAAATGACGCTTGATGTCCAAAATTCCAACACATTCTCATCCCAAGATGTCATCTAACTGACGCTTTTGACCATACGTCAACATCCAACGTTTTAGGGTATCCTTTAACAGTTAGATGACCCTTTAACCCTTTAACAATCCTAGGGCGTCATCCAACTGACGCTTTACCTTTAGCATCAGTTAGATGAGGCAGGTAGGTTTAGGTCTGGAGTAGGGTTAGGATTAGATACCCTAGGGTACCCTAAAACGTCGGATATTGACGTATGGTCAAAAGTGTCAGTTATATGATGTCTTGGGATGAGAATGGGCTGAAAATTCTGAACCACCCCTTCAATAAATTAAAAAGCAGGTGTTATTGAAATATTTTATAGCATAGAATAAAATGAGAAAATATCTTGTGTTCACTACAGACCTTTTTTATAAAAACCTATCGTATTCGGGATCCTCTATATCTGCAGAACAGGGTTCTTATTCATTTTTCAAACGTAATTATATAAAACCACAGAAGCACAAAGCGAAGACAGACACAAACCATTAGGTGTAACCTCACAGAGGACCTCACAGAGGTCTTATATTTTATATGTATAAAAAAAAAACAATATACAAATTATATTGTAAAGAACTTTTCCCAGAACCCCTAAAATGATGTAAAATCATGAGAACATGTTAATAAGGTTCGAAGTGCTAGTGAAATGTCTTCATACTGAACTACACATTCAGATCAACCTGCTGAAGATCCTCCATAATGGAAAAGCAAAAGGACAGAGACGTAGACAGAGATGCCAGTCTAGGTAAAATATCACATTTCAGTAAACTGACAACCTTCATACTGTACAGTGTTTTACATGGATTTACTGTAAGATACGCTGCTGCCATTGGTTTAAAACAACCACTCAAGGCTTAAAGTCCCCGTGAACCGGAAGTTGCAAACGATTTTTCTCCAGTGCTGTGACGTATTTCCAAGTGAAACGGAATATTGAACAGAGGGCAGGGTTTTACTCTAGCGCTCCTCCTCTCCATCTCTCGCTCATAGCAAACTAACGGTTTGAGGGGAGTGGTTAAGCGTTTCCCCACCCAAACTGTGAAACCTACGTCATCAGAAAAAGAAACCATTCCAGACCGGAAGTAACTTTTCAGATTTTGATTAAAGATTACTAAGGTAAAACATTTTTTTTAATATATATTCACTTGCACGGATTAATTGTTCACCACAAGACTAGTAATATGCGATAACAAAGTAAATAGGTTTAATTTTGATTTCACGGGGACTTTAAGCATCCTCTTGCGTTACAGGACTCTGTCCAGCAGATGGAGACACACTGTGACGTCACTCACTGCTGAATAAGAGCTAAAGAAAGCTCAAAAAAGCTGGATGTACAGTAGTAATCTAAAGAGAAAAAAAAGACAGCAATAAATATAACAATACACTATAACAAGATCAAAAAGTTGTTTATACAAACAAAATGTTTGCTTGAGAAACCCAGGCCAAACAGTTTGAATTTGTTTTGAAAGCTTGAATTTTGAAGGTTTTATGTTGCTATGCATTTCCTGGGGTGTTCAGGATGGTTGCTAGGGTGTTGCTATGGGTTTCTGGGCAATTTAGACGGTGTTGCTATATGTAGTTGTGTTCTAGCTGGTTTCTATTGTCTTGTGGGTGGCGCTATGTAGTTGCTAAGGTATTATAGATGATTTTTAGGATGTTTATTTTTAGCTCAGTTCCTGTCACCGATGGAGTTTGGCTTCCTTGCCACTCTTGCTTGTGGCTCGCTTAGTTGGAGACACATAATGTTCAGCAATATTATTGATCTGACTGCACTGACACTGTTGGGTGAACTGAACTTAACTGAGCATTACAATGACATCACTGTTTTCTACAAAACTGCTTTAAGGCTGACTTGAAGTTATTTCATAATTTATTAACTACTCCGGTATTGAACTGACCTCAGCTGACCACACTATTGTCTTTTTAAAGCTGCTTTACAGCAGAATTGTATTTTGATTTAATAATTGCATAAATATTTTCCTGTTTATCCTTGTAAAGCTGCTTTGAAACAATATGTATTTTATAAAGCGATAAAGGTCACTTGACGTGAGATATATTCTGGGTGGTTGTAGTTTCTATGGGGTTGCTAAGGTGTTATGGGTGGTTGCTATATTCTTATGCAGTTGCTAGGATTGTTAGGTTATTCCTAATGGTTAAAAGCCAAAAACACATTTCGCTCAGATTTCAGTACCACACATCAGTGGTCTCTCTTTCTCTGTAGATTATCTGTGAATCTCTCACCTGTGACTGTCTCTGATTCAGCACAATGAAACTCTACCGGTCCGGCTGCATCCAGACACACTGGAATAATAATAATAAAAAAGATGTATGTCTTTTTAAACTCTATAAAGGAAAGAAAAACTGGGGCTAGTTGTCACAGGGTCTGTATTTCAAGTAAACATTTCAGTAAATTCCGGTTTTCAATTAAAAGCCAATGACGAACATGCTTTCGCTGTATTTTTATATTAAAACTGTATTTTAAATTAGGATAATTCTTGTGAATTTCAGTCATCGAAACTAAATTGAAAACAGCAAAATACACACATTTAGACAACATAAGGGTTTAGTGCGATCATCATTCAAATGCTGTCACATTTTAATTGGGGCAAGTTGTCACACAACTATATACTTTTTAAAATATTTACAATGATTTGCATTTACTTTATAACATCGTGCTGCATGAATATTCATCATCCAGGATGAATATTCAATGAAAATAAATTGTTAAAAGAACCAAACACAATTGCAAATAAAATACTCACTGTTTGGTTTTTGCTGCATGCTTTCTCTGCGAATAAGCTTCAGCACACATTTCTCCCATGATTCATTGAATTTTGAGTCCTTCTTTCTGCTTTCCATCTCTCGTTTCAGACTTTATCTCTTCTGCAGGGTCTGATACTCCAGATGTGATCCGTCTTCCACAGTGTGTCCTGCGCAATGATTGGCATGTGACTTTCACTTCAACCATAATATTTAAGTAATCTCACATTTTAAACTCAGCTTTACGTAATGCATAAAGATGTGTTTCATTCACCTTCTGATGACTGTAAAAGTAAATCGATGAGAAGCAGAAATATCCACATAAGTTCTCTCTTTCTGTGTGTGCGACTGTTCGTGTGTGTGTGTGTGTGTGTGTGTGAGAGAGAGAGAATCCTGTAATTAATCCTGACCAGAACCGAACAAGAGCTCCGAGAAAACAGAACAAACTCATCGAGAGAGAAAGAGGGATAATAAAACAAAAAGCCTATTTTTGAATTCTTCGCTTCTCAATCTTTGGCTCCGCCTATTTACGCAAACATGAAACATTGAGGAAATATAACTTGAGTAAATAGGTGGAAAGAAGCTATTTTTAGCTGCAGCTTCTACTCTGACATGATGACTGCATCGATTGCCTAATGCCTCTTGCATGACGTGCAGGTATTTTACAAATGTGAATAAGACAGCATTAATCATCAATTCAATTGTATTAATAATTCCATGACCTACATAGGACAAACAATATTATTAACATGAAATAGGAAAATATACAACGTTATAAATGAATAAACAACATTCAATGAACAAGCACTATGCTAAAATACTCAAAAAGATGCATTTTTTTTAGATTACATCAATTAAAGATTGTTTTGGCATTACTTGTAAAAGTTATAATTCTATGCATTTTACTATCTTCATTTGCATTTGATTATTTGCATTTAGCATTGTTTTCCCTTTTGTTCACATCAGAACAGACACACGATGACACCGGTCGAGAGTTTTACTTACTTAAGTCATTTGAACTTGAAATATGTGACCCTAGAGCACAAAAACAAGTCACCGCAATTTTATGAAATTGAGATTTATAAAATAAGATTTCAAATGATGTATGGTTTGTTAGGATTGGACAATAATTGGCCGAGATACAACTATTTGTAAATCTGGAATCTGAGGGTAAAAAAAAAAAAAAAAAAAAAAACCACGAAACATTGAGAAAATCACCTTTAAAGTTCTTAATTTATTGTTCGCGATTGTGCTGGATACAAAATCTCCATGGAACATGATCTCCACTCAATATCCTAATGATTTTTGGCATAAAAGAAAATTAAATCAATAATTTTGACCATTTCCTACTTCATTATTTTTGATCTTGTGAAATGGAATGCAAGATGAGAAGATGATGCAAATGTATATATAGACAGATCTTGTGTTTCATAGAAGGTGTAGTTTAAGAAAACATTTGCACCATTCAAAATTTTATTGTGGAAAATAGTGCAAAGTGACAAAAGTGCAAGTGATCAGCCTACACTTTATCATTCTTCACATGTAATTCTTTATTTTATGACTATGATTATTATGACTATTTAACACATGTTATCTCTGAAATTATACAAATGGCAAATTAGCTAATCTAGTGAGCTAAGCATGTGGCATGAAACACAGTCAATCACAGAAAAACTTTTCAATGAACTGGTAAAGTCACCTGGATGTAATTTGAGAGGCACGTTTGATCAGGCAGAGGAAATTCACCTTTGTGCAGGTTAGTTGTTGTAAAACCAGAATCATCAACATTCTTCATTGTGTGCACATACAAGAGAGCAGTCGAGAGAGTGAGCTGACAGGCATGAGCTCAACCATAAAATAAAAGTGAGAAACCTGCACTGTGCTGCAGTATTACTTAGTTCATTTCTGTTTTCTTTTTTTAAATTCCGCATTTTATGCCTCAAAACTCATCTTTGATCACCAAAATTACAAATTACTAAACATTACATTAACATTTTTTTTCCTTTAAATATACAATTCTTCATGCCTTAAAGGAGCTGTATGCAAGAAATTTATTTCAATTAATCATAACTTTTCCCTGATATGTCACTAGACATTAACAAATCATGTTCATTTCAAATACTTATATCCAGTGTTGTGCAAGTTACTTCCAAACTGTAATACATTAGGTATTACTTGTTACAGTTATTTAAAAGTAATTCATTACCTTACAATATTACTGTCTCAGAATTGTAATGCGTTACATTACTCATGTATTACTTTAGAGTTACTTTCACCAAAATAACTACAGAAGTAGAACTTAACTTTGGGGCTTCTAACGATATGCGATATGAAACCGAAATCGCAATTCGCCACACTCAGATCCACGAACCTACAGAATCGCGACACACCTCTTCCAACTCCCAGCGTTATTCTCCTAATACCGTCTAGATCCAATGCTACCTTATCTTTAAATAACTTTGTAGGCTATTAGTATTATTTGAAGTTAACATTATAAAATACATAGACCTACACCACAAAACTAGTTGAGGATAAATTATTTAAAATTGGGGAAGTCTAGCATTATGGACATGACATTTGCAGTCAAAACTTGAAATAAAAATTCTCAGAAAATACATAATGTATTGAAACGTATATAGGCTACTTCCTTAAAGGACTCCAGACATTAGACAAATATCAGTCTATGTTTTACTTTTAATATTAGGGAAAAGACACACATTCATGCGTGACAAAAAAAATAGGAGGCAAAATATATTTTTTGTAATTCTGTTAATTACACTGCGCAAATCGGATGAGGAAGGGTTGGCTCTTCAGTCTCCATAGAACTTAAAATATTCATTTTATTTTAGAGGAAAAAACAATGTTTCAGATGCGACCGCTCTGAACTGGCACTAAAAGACTGCTTTAAAATTTTCACACAGTCTGTTGCCTTTAAGAAGTAAAAGCTGACAATATTAGATAAGGCGCGGGGGCGTGCTGGTGCGCATCTCATAAATAGCCAATAGGCTATACCGAAACTCAGCGTATAAGTATAGCCTACTCCACAGACCTGAAAAATATATCTATACTGAAATGTCTATACTTGTAAACAGAACAATTCAAAATGAAAAACTTTTCCACTGGCCAGCGTGAGCACAGAGGCCGAAATCATGCCTCACCGCACTCCTGTAGAAAATAAATCGCTATACAGATATATCAGCCTTTATTTACAAACTTGGACACCACACGTGGCTATTGACTGACCACGAACAGGTAACTTAGCCTACTTGCATTTTCCATTCGTTAATGTCTCACGATCTTGCTGTATTTTTTTTTTTTTTTTTACAATTAAAACTAAATGTCAAGCCTCACTGTAATACAACTGTAATGCAAGCCTCACTGAACATGTAACGAGTAAAATATTACTGAAAATTGATTAGTAATGCCTTACACTACTGCATTAAAGCAAAAAGTAATATGTTACTGTAATGTTTTACTTTTGTAAGGCGTTACTCCCAACACTGCTTATATCACAGTAGTCCGGCCAGGATATTGTCTTTTAAAAAGTCTTTTCCCAGCCCTTGACTGATGTTGATGTTGTCAAGTTGTGTTTTGTTCTGATCAAGCGTGCCACACAAGCCCTCAAAAGTGAAGCCAAAACGTCTCGATCGCCCCCCGGTGACTGGTCCTAGTATTGCTCATAACCCCCGCCTCCCCATGTTACTCAATGGGACGCGAGACCAAAATTACACTTCACATATCCTTTTTCCAAAGATAGTTTCTGTCATTTACTGTAGTTTCTATCACGCTGATGTAATTTCAAGTGTTTGTTTTTAAAATAAATTTGTTTTTAGTTAGTTATATGATGATAAAAACGGTGCTCTGACATCATGATTGACAGCTGTGATTGACAGGTTCTCTGTGTGAGGTAGTCACTGAAGCACCAACGGACCAATGTTGCCAATGTTGATTATGTGGTTAGTAGTTGTATTTACCTTATTTTAACGAGGTTCTGCAATCAGCAGACATTATTGGAGAAGAACGAAGCAGACAAAGGACACTTAATGAAAGTGCGGGGCATGTGCTTGCGTTTGATTCAGCGCGAATGAGGGCGCGGCCTTCATTTCGCGGCTTTACTTCCTGCTCACGACTGCGCGTGTCTGGTCCCGAAAACAGCAAGTGCGAGACTCAAGTTCCAAGATGTCAGCGCCATATCGCGATACTGGCGGCTTCAGTTCTCTCTGATGGAAAAGAGCGAAGGGGCGTCGTCCATTTTTTTTTACAGTCTATGGTTCTGATGCGTCACTCTCCACCGACCTACCAATCACGAAGTCAGTAGTGTTGTGGCATCTTCACTAGTTACCATATCTGCATACAAACGTGTCGGAATCGGATAAAAAAATTCTAACGTTGTGAAACCCCCAAAAACTCGATATGAATCCGAAATACTTTGTTATAAAAGATATCAAAGTTTTTAAACCAGAACTTACAAAAGCCAATGATACGAAACAGCGTGCAAAGCACAAACAAAGTAACCGACCCAGAATTTTGAACAAGGACGACCTTAAATACACCGCTGAACAATGAAGACAACAGCTGAAGATGGTGAGTGATGATGATGATTGCCGGCGCAGGCCGAGGAGGATGCTGGGAACTGTAGTGCAGACGAAGAAGACTAACAGGTGACGGTAACGTTGGGGACAGAGCAAGGGGCGACCTCCCCGTCTCTCTCTTGAAGCCAACACGGAAGTGAATTAAACTGCAATTCATCGAGTGGCCGCATGAGGCTGGCTGCAGAAGCGAGTCAAATCTGTATCTCCCCCAAGTTAAAATGTCTAACTTCACAGCAGAAAAAAACATGTTCACTGCCTGGTGGCAAATATTTGTTTTGGTCTATGTCGCTAATTTTGCCCTTCATGACGACTGTGAGGGGGGTGAATTTTTTTATAACTCATCCTTTTAAATTATATTAAGCCTTAAAGGGTGATGCCACTTGAGTGACAGGTGGATTGCCGCTGCTTTCACTGCTAGTAGTTTGTCTGCTGTCTGTTAGCGTCACCCTCAGCTGTGTTTGTGCTTTTTCTGGGATTATTTCATACAATTTAAAACATGTATTATACTTTCGCCCGTGCACGCCGTTGGATTCCGTCGTGTTGAGTATGGAGAGAACAACCAGGGGTGTGTTTCCAGTTGTTTCCCTCACATGCACTAATGGATGTCTGATGATTTCAGTGCTTTCTCTCCATCCATGCAATAGATGCACACCCTTGAATGAGTGTGGATTTCTAGTTCATTTACTTTAACTTCTGAGGTAATATCTTTGGTTTGACCCATCTGAGAAACTGAGAGGCGACCAAAAACAGCTCTTTACGAACTTGACGTGCGATACCACCTGACATATCTTGCTTGAATCACTGTCACAAGCATAGCTTAGAGCAACTATAAGCTAACTAGCAGAATAATAATGCATCACGATTCACATAGTTGACTGCTTGTATGTTGTGAGAAATGTGTGTGATCTGTGTTATGTACTTGTATACATGCTCTTAACTAATTGCCCCTTGTGTGAGATTAATAAAGTTGATAAAAAAGTAAAGTAAATAGTCTCACTTTTATTTACGTCTTAACTATTATAATATTTCGAAGGGCAAAAACATGAACTTTAACCATTGGCTTTACTTTTTCAATCAGCTGTCACTTCAGCGTGAGAGCAGTAGCATTAGTACCTCAGCTCCACCCGCGTCTTGCCTCTTAGGCCCCGTCCACACTACTGCGTTTTCGTTTAAAAACGGAGAATTAAAACGAATACGATCTCCGTCCACACCAGCGTTTTGTCTGCGTATTAGAATTGATCTCCGTCCACATTAAAACGACTGAAAACGCAGATCAGGGAAGGACACGTCATGACTGATGACACCCAATCATAGAGCCGAGCGTGAGCCTCTGCGTCATCGTTTGTAAACTCCTCCGTTTTGTCTCGTCCACACTAAAACGCCCTCCGGAGTTTCAAAACGCAAAACGCAGCTGCAGCGTTTCTAAACTTCTCCGTTTTAGGTCTTCGTTTTTCCCGTTTTAGTGTGGACGGGAGGTGCAAACGTAGCAAAAGGTCTCCGTTTTTAAACGAAAATGCAGTAGTGTGGACGGGGCCTTAGTAGTGACAAGAGGTGACGCACTGCCAAGATGGCAACGGCCAGCTCCACCCACTATAGGCTTCAAAAACGATTTTCAGAAACCTACGGGTGACGTCACGGATTCTACGTACATATTTTTTTACAGTCTATGGGACAGAGACGATGACAGTAACAGTGACGATTATGGTGACAGAGACGATGACCATTAGGTGGTGACTGTGACAAAGCGTAAATACTGTTAATCAATTAACATGTATTTTGCGTTAATTTAAAATAAATGTTACTGTTAAAATTACGATTTTCTTTGTGTGCTTCATATTGTAGGCTGTTCTAAGATCAATATTTTTTGTGCATTGTATAAACATGGTCATTTAGACATTAAAGAATAAATTTGGGACCGAGATCACTTTCAAGTATAAACAGACGGAGTTTAATGTTGTAAATACACTTTGACACTTACATGACCTTCACAAAGTGTTCAGCAGAATCCAAATAATACAGACATTTCATCCCTGCTGACCATGTGCTCATGATGCAACTCAATCATAGAGATCATTGTGCTCTTGAATAAGACACTTGACACCAGTTACAGGAGGTTCTTAAGATAAAAATACCTTCAAAACGGAAGTAAAGTAATGACACGTTTAAAGGACAAGTTCAGTAATTTACACTTAAAGCCCTATTTCAAGGTCGTTTCTAAAGAAATAGAACGGTTAAAATTAAAATTTGGACACATGCAGCTGGCCCGAGAAATTTCGGTTTCTGTGGCTTTAATTGTAAAATACCGAACTTGTCCTTTAAGGGAAAATATTTTGCATCTCTGAAAAGTTTGAGCAACATGAACTATACCTGTTCAAATAGGAGGAAGATTTGTTATTGTCTTTATAATTGTCTGATTATTATGACAAAATATATAAACCTGTGTGCACTCTATTAAATAAAAATCAGTTTAAGTATAGCCTATAGTACAGTTATAGCCATGCATAAACATTTTAAAAAGGAGCATTTTCAGAAGAAAATAATAGTTTTGTGTTCCAGTCTCATTCTGATTCACCGACTGAAAGTGACGTGAAGAACATTCTAGATGTTAGATGATGTTCTAGATGATGTTCTAGATCTTCAACAGTTTGATGAGAAAAACTGGCGCTTTCTGAAGAGAAAACACAGAGTTAGAAATCAAAACGCATGCAGATTTATTTTATGATTACGAGCTGTGAAACTCTGACCTCATGAATTTCTCTTTTCTCCGCAGGTCTGTCTGGATCAAGAGAGACTGAAAGCAAACAAACAGAAGTTCAGGCTACGGTTTGAGAGAGTCACGATCATAATCCAGCCTGAAATCATAATGATGCAAGAGCATTTTAATGATCTTAATATGACATTTCTTCATTTTTTATCGATCTGTTTTTGCTCTTTAGAATCACAGTCTAGAAACCAATATCTGTATATAATATATAATATAATATGATATCAGTATGGTGAAAACCTATTGAAAAGTAACTATTTGATTTAATATGTGATATAATATTCTGATTTATCATTGGAGTATTTCACTTTTGTTAAATTCCATGCATTTAATTATATTAAAAGCAAAAGTTAAGGGTCAACAGTCAATATTCACTTCTACATATCTGCACTATGCAAATGTTATTATTATCGTAAACATGCACATATTTGTGTTAAAATCTGAAATTCCTCTCAAACTTTCTTACACTTTGGTGGATATATGTCCATACTGTTTTTCAGCTGCAGAGTTAGATGTTTTCTCAATCCACAGGCATTTTCTTTTATGTTAAATGTTTTTTCCTTCAGCGCAGGTTTGTCTTCGTCTGTCATCTTCTCTTATTGACAATCTGAGATAAATGTAGAAAATATTTTGGATTTTAAAATATTTTCATTCTTCACTAGCCTATTTATAGGTCAGGGATAATTAATCAAATTTTCACAAATAAGTGATTATTGATTATGTTAACTCTTAAAAACAGTCACATTTTCTTGCTTCCAGTGAAAAACGCACAATGATCTTTGAAACATTTACAGATCAAAGCAAAAAAGCAACATAGAAAGTAATTTTTCTGCAAATTCTGAAATGTATTTGTAATATAAAGAGTTGGGTTTTTTTTAAATCAGAGCTATGCATTATCGTTATCTGAACGCGATAGAAATGCCAAACAAACGACAGAAAACACTCACCTAGATCCAGATCTGGAAATATTTATAATTATTTTAATCCGTAGTTCATATTTTTTTAATTTAAACCCTTGGAGAAGATGGCTACTGAAACCTCAGACTTTAATCACAGCCGAGAACCACAGAATCCAGCAGGAAATGACTGAGTAAATATTTCGAACAGCTTCTGTGACGCAAATGGAGAAAGTGCCTGAACCAGTTTAGTCTCATTGTTTTTCTTTTAAAATCCATCTTGCCTTTGTTAATAATTTACAGTAACTGATGATCCAGTTGATTTCATTACAGAGTTTGGCCACAGCAAGAGGACTGATGATGACACTCATTTTTATTAGCAAATAAAAAACTCTTTCCCATTTTCAATTCCTAAAAGTCCTACTGCATGTGTAACCCGTCTCTACTGATGAATCCAGATCTGGACGCTCAAAGCTGAATTCAATGTCAAGGTTTTTCTTGTCACGCTGATTCAGGATCAGATCTTTTGAGAACTGAAATCCAAACTCACAACAAACAACTGCAGAAAAATGAGCATTAAACCTTAACACATGCTGAAATTAACTCAGCAGCATTAGTGAATTCATGCCGTTCATTAATAGAAGGGGTTGAACAGATCAAAGTAAACAATAAATTTATTTTATTTTATTTTTTTTTAACTCCAGGCATATCAATAATAGGAAACTATGTAAACTTCAGGCTCAGGTCAGTTTAGTTCTGGTAACAGAAAACCATTTTTTTTTCAAAAAAAAATTTGCAAGTTTAAATATTGGCCTGGGCTATAGACATAGGCCAGGCCTTTCCAATAAATTGTGTAATAAATGTTATTTCTAAAATAATGTTTAAAATTTGTATCTTTATATTAACCAAATCAAACACATGTGGCGAGATAAAAATAGTTTTATGATATCAGCCAAAATAAAAGATAGCACATTTAATCTGAATGTTAGATAGTTTTATATAAATTGGTTTCCGCCAGTAGAGGCGCTCTAACAACCGAAGCAATGACACACATCCGAGTCTAGGAGAAGAAGAGAAGTGAGTGAGGGGAGGGAAGGGAACATAAACATGAGAAGTGAAACACAGCCGTTCATTCTGCTCTAAATCTGCTGTTATCAGACTGTGAGTACATTTACTTTATCATTGAGGAGAAATCTAAATCCAAACGAATCAACTCGACATTTGGTGAATCACTCAGAAATTAATCGAAATCAGCCGACTGATGTTGTTGCTCGTTAACGTAAACTCCTGTTGTTGTTTTTTTCACATTACATTTTGTGAAGATTATTATGAGTTGTGTTTTTATTTTATGTAATGAACAAATGAAACATGTAAAACAGTTTAAATGCATGTAAATTATATCTAATGTAAGAGATGCATTTAAACTAAATTACATAAACATAAAAGGTTTGAGAAGTTGAGTGTTTTTAAACAGTTTGATTAAAACAGTAAAAGCTGAATAATCTCGAGTGACTTTTAGTGTGATGATCATCTGCTAAATGAGCAACAATGATCACAATTCACTCCTTCAGTCAGTGAAACTCCCACAGCCGTTCATGAGAGTTTAAATGCTGGGGAATATTCCCATCTTCCCACAGGAGAAGAAGAAGCAAGCAGGAGGAATTACTCCAGGAGAAACTACGAACATACTATTGTAAAGATGGAGATTAAGGAAGAACCCTGCAGAATAAAAGAGGAAGATATTGAGGAACAAATAGGTTGGTGTTTTCCTTCGTTCTCTTATCGGTCTTTGTCAGACACGTGGGTTTGTTGTGTGTGACGTCACCGCAGCGCCATTTTTGAGGTATCTACTGTGAGCCAAGGGGGTAATCCATCAGCCGGAAGCTGAAGCTGCCTCCGGGGGCCGCCATTGTAGCGTACTATCACCTGCTATTAGCATCCCATTGACTCCCATTCATTTTGGCGTCACTTTGACAGCGAATATCTTTACATCTGAGGCGTCCAAAGACTCTATTTAGACTTTATTTCTAAAGAAACGCAACAATGTATAAAAGGCTCCATTACTTTGTATGTTACGTTATGGCCACGTAGAAGCCGTTCTTGTATAAATAGGCTAAAAATTGCATCATAACCACTCGACTGTCCGTCGCACAGTAGAGAATTACCGTATAGACAGGAAGAGAAGCTCGCACAGCCTCGCAGGCAATCTTTTACTGTCTAAAGTCAGCCCATGGCATAATGACAAAATAACTAATCAGAATACTTACCAAAAGTTGCTCCAGGTCGCGCTTCGCCGTCTCTGTGCACGATTAAAATTTCTCTTGGCACAGCTACTATAAGTCAGTTTGCTCACGTGACATCTACGTCGTCAAGCTTAGTTTGAGCCTGCGCAGAACACTTGGCAATCAGGAAGTGAGTTGAGCTTCAGCTCTCTCCATTAAAATCAACGGGGTCGCTGTGTCCATTTCTTTTACTGTCTATGCTGTGTGAGCATTGAAGAAATTATGAGAGTAGAGATAACAAGTAAATAACTCGCAAAACTGCTGAAGCACAAGAAAACTGAGAAAAGGCCTTACTGCAATAAACTCGATAAATATGGCAGGTGGGTCAATGACGTATAAGGCCTTTGAGAGGCCCATTTTTAAAATACTTGAAATAATAATATATTTGTCTATTTTCTAAACATGTGGAGTGTAGTCTACACATGCAAGTGTGTGAAAACTTCAAACAAAGATATTTTAGTGCTTTTAAACTCAAATGAGTAGGGCAATGACCTTAAAAAAGTCATTTGGGGCGACCGTAATTTATCTTATAATTAATAGATTTCCTTTGCATAAGTTATATTTTAAGAAGTATCAGTAATTAATTGAACTGTTTAAGAAAGATATACTCATGTGTCCTTTCATTTATTGCAAATGATGTTAAATACATTTTTATCTATAATGGCAGTGTCACCCTCATAAAGCAATTACATATTTTTTTTACTCATAAAATCCATAAAACTGATTTAAAATGTGTAGATATAGTATCCACTTATTGATGTTATACCAATGAATTATATTTCAACCAAAATGGACAGATATTATTTTTTGAATTTACTGCAGAATTGAATATAGTTGGTTACCCCACATGACAAATGGTCGCCCCACATGATGAAAAACAGCAGGCAATTAAGACTATTCAATGATTTTGATAGCTAAAACACATTTAATGGAATTTTATGAAGAATCAGCATATCCATTTCATTTGACACATTTCATAACATTAACAGTTTCCTCACTATTTCATTTGACACAAAACCATCATATTAAAATGTTCAATACTAATGCATTAAACGCTTGGACATAACATTGAACAGCATTTTCCTTTTTCATTTTCATTCCATTAATCACTTAAACATACAATGTTTGCATTTTCATTACTATTTTCATTTAACAGTTGAATATAGCAGCATTCTGCAGACACATTGAACAGCATTTTCCGCTGCCTGTAGCGAGCAGTCTTTTCTTTGCTTGTTAGTGGGGCCATCTAGAAAAAAACGTATATTTAAACATACACAGAGTTAGAAAAAGAATTGGAAAAAGTAGAATGAATGCTTAATATTCACACAGTTCTTTGGTAAAAAACATAATAATCAAAAAGAAGTAAGCTTAGTCCTCTCTGAAGTAGCAGGGAAATTATTGAAATTTAGAAAAAATATGTGGTGAAATTTAGAAAGTTATTTAAAACAACTAAATGCATATAATGAATGTAAACATTTGCATACAGAAACTACAAATACATGATATGTGTTTTCTATAATTTAAGCAATCAGTGGCGGTCGCCCCACATGATGCTTGGTCGCCCCAGATGATATTTTCAAGTTTAATCAAGTATAACAGGCTAATGCTTAGCTATAGAGCCCAAGTTAGCTTCTTGTAACCACATATCACTGACAAATTTACAATTTACAAATTTAAAAATAAAGATTTGCGTATAAAACTTATAATTTACAGTTTTAGGTTGGTCGCCCCACATGATATCAAAATGTGACGTATACACTGCAGCAGTTTTAAAGAGGATTTGTTTGTAAAAATGAGAGTGGCAACTCACCTGCTAGTTGTCTCTGTGGGACCCTCACCATGAGGCTGGCTGATGCAACATCCTCTTTGAGATGATTATCAGAATATAAGTCCCTTATTTGTATTTTCTTGATGGTCGCCCCAGATGATATTTCAGATAATGAACATCTTCGGACAAGATTTGTTTGTTTATTATGATTGAAATGTGTGTACAAATGTTTCATAACTTTGTCAATCAATGGAAAACAAGTTTAAAATTATGCCAAATAGGGTAAGGATTATATTTAAATTATTTTAGTTTGATTTAATACCAGTTGTCCAAACAGAAGTCAAGGCCGGACGGTCGCCCCACATGATGTTTTCACACTTCAGGTGGCAGAAAATGCCAATAAACCAATTAGTTTTAGAGAAATAAGAGTGGGCATATGTATAAGGGAGGTGGTAGACATACATGTTATAATTTTATTAATTTTAATGTTTATTAATTGGTAAAAAGTTCAGTCGGACAGAAAAAGCAAGCGTCACGTCATTGACCCAGGTACCGTTTTTTGGAGAAATTGTCATCCATTCAGAACATAGATCCATATATGAGCTCAGCTGACTGCAGTAAATTGGAGTGCTGATCCCGCGTTGCTTTCTCATCCTCATAGTTGGGCATTGTCAACTATCTTGTCTATGGTATAAGCGCATATAATGTTAAGTGAACAATTAAAAAATTATACATCTCTTAAAGCTCGCGGACATTTCACCAAGTTACTGTATCCTTCGGTAGGAATGTAAATAAATCCTGTTAAGTTAGTAACAGCAAAGATAGGTTTGCTGTATTGATGCCGGTGATGAATGATAGTGCCATGTAAAGGATTGTTCAGTTTGAAAAAAAAAGAATGAAAAAACAATTCTCCAATAACAGAATACCCCAGCATTGATACTGCACACCATAATGCACATCGTTTATCACGAGTGTGACTTCTGACAAAGACCATGCTATTTTCTCACAAAAGGTTTACATCCATCAAAGGTCAAAACGAGAATTTTAATTTTATGGTGGTTTTAAAAAGCAAGATGTGATGCAGAAATATATTCCCGAAAGAATGCGAGAATTCTATTGCTGTGTGTGCTGAGTTAATGATGAGTGACAGAATTTATACTTTTAAAGGCCTCTTTTTGTTTTTTGTTTTAGATGCCCCTGTCTGCAATAATAATTCATCTTTGTTTATTTGGGGATTAATTGTGATTAATTGCATTAATTCATGAGAAAATCATGTAATTATAAATCAATTTATTCAACATCACTAAACAACGATTTACAATTTAAAAAATAAAATTCTTACATTTAATAAAATCAAAGCAATCATGGCCGCCAAATATTAATTGTATTTAAATCTCATCAATGATATTATTTTCACTTAGTGTAGGGCTGGGCGATATAACCAAAATCTCATATCACGGTATAAGTCATTTCATATCCCAATAACAATATCATAATATAGTACCTTTTCTGTAAATTCAATAAATTAATAGTTTATATATTGACCACATGGGAAGGACAATTTTCTTTTCTACATTTTGAAGTATATAATCAAAAATGAGTTTGAGTTTGTCTTATTTGGAACTTTTGTTTGATTGGCAAATGTTTAAGAATGTAGAAATACAAGAAATTAATGAAATATTAAACACTTTTCAAAAAACAAATGATTACAGGCCCAATATAAAATATTGCTATAAAAAATTCCAAATGTAAACAATAAACATTGTACTTTCAAGTTTAAAATATAGCAGCAATCATGGCTCCAAACCGGTTAAATGAACAAAATTGAATGAACTGAAAACAAACGAAATTTTTACAGGAATATAACCAGAAACAAAATCAAATGTAATCGTTCTGAACCGAAACGCTTATTTAAATTGCCATTAACTGGTTAATAAAGTTATTTTAAGTTCTGTTTAATATTTTAATTTGGTAGTCAGACAAGCGCGAATAGATTATGTAAATGTGATATTGACGCATAACCTATCCAACGTGAGTGAAATGCCTGTGCTCAGCTTTCAAGTCATCAGGTAAGACGCAATGGCAATGCGCTGGAATTTGTTTTCGTTACGTCAAACAATTAGGCATACATTTCAGTGAAATTGAATAGCAGGTAATATCCAAATTGTTGTGTGTTCTGAAACCAGCAGAAATTGCAGGATGGTGTAGAACATGGATCACGCACTTAAAGCGCTATTGTGAACTAGGGGTCAACCAATTTGTAATAATCGGTATTGCGCCGGCCCTGAAAATCACAGATCAAGTAGACAGATAACCGATATTTTGAGCCGATATAGTCTATGTCTGGTGTAAAAAATGTAAGTTAATGTCCAATGTACGAATAACAAAGTGTTTTGAAATACTTTCTTTAAATTATTTTAAACATATTCTTAAATCTGAGAACTGTTAATAATAACATTATTATTATTATTATTAACTTAAAAAGTGTAGGGAGCACCCAGAATCATTCTGTAACACCTAAAGACTCTATTTCAATGGTTAAATTAAATTTTAGTAATCAAAAATCATTTCTAATTAATTCAAAATCATCAAACTTATTTAATTTATTTACATTTTAATAAATAAATTTTTTTTTGGGCTTAATGTAAAACCAAACTTTTATTTTGACGAGTTGCAGTGTAGATCTTTTGAGTTTCTGTGTGTTAATGATGTGATGATAATGTTTCTCAGATAAAGCATTAAAAAGGTCATGAAGTGACCAAGTGGCTCTGGAGATGAGGTTTATTCATGTCTTCATATAATGATGCGGCTGAGGCTGAAAACAGAGTGTGTTTGTGTAGTAAATGAAATCACTCGTCTGCGCCATTCGTTTAGAGACACGCACGATTCATATTTAAATATTCTTTTTGCGGTTTGAAATTCGATTTGATTTGTACTGTCTGCTTTTTATTAATTCATCAAATATTTTACGAATTCAGTGACATTCCACTTTATACAGTAAATTAAGTTTTTATTACTGGATTCTGTGATTCCATCCGTGCTTTCTGCATTGCAGAAATCACAGGGCTTTATTATATTGAGGTGTTTTGCAACTTCTGTAGTAATTTATTGCTACTTCAGCAAAGTCTACTGCTGCCTTAAAGGAGAACTCCGGCGCAAAATGAACTTTTGGTCTAATAAAACATCGGTACCTAGTGAACTGTTCTCTGAGATTTGTTTTCATGATAATCGAATGTAAAGAGTTTTATCTCTAAAAACTGTTTAGCATATAATGCTAGTAATGGGGGCATTAACTAAGGAAAAAAATCACTAGTTTATACCACTAACAAGGCTCAAAATAGCCCCACACTAACACAGTAACATAATGAGGGTCCATACATGCAAAACGAAGCATTGAGAACTTTGTAAGTGTACAGACCGTTTAATAAGAAGATACTTTATGAAGACAGTCCACTTCATGTATACAGACAGGAGCCATCTTGGAAAACAGTCACGACAATTCAAACCACGAACGACGTGCTAAGTGAGCTGAACTGTATGAAGTTCATCGAACTTCTGAACTGTATGAACGGCCTTCAGGGATCGACTTATCGAGAGTATCCAGGTAAAATAAGTGTTTTCTTAAAGGGTTAGTTCACCCAAAAAAATTAAATTATGGGAATTTAATTTTAGATCCTATGGATGTGAATGTTTCGAAGACCTCATTTCACAAATAAAGATGGAAACATTTCAGTCTGAAAATAATTTAATACAGAAAAGTTCTGGAAAAACGAGTCAAAGGATCTTTCAACTGCTCAGAGTGTGGAAAGAGTTTCACAGATAAATCAGAACTTAGACACATGAGAATTCACACTGGAGAAAAACCATTTACACGCGCTCAGTGTGGAAAGAGTTTCACATATAGAAGTACTCTTTAAGATCATCTGCATCGACACTCTGGAGTGAAGTCGTTCAGCTGTGATCATTGTGATAAAGCATTTGTTTTTTGGGGGGGTGATGAACTGAGAAATCAAATTTTCCTTGAGCTTTTGACATCTAAGAGGTCATCATATAATAAGAATATCCTGTAAGTTTCAGAACTGAAAACGTCCTTGTTAGTCCAATAAAAGCTTTTATTGACACAGCCTCTGAAAACGACTCGTTTTTAAAAGTGGGGAACTATGACAACAAAGAGGATAAAACACCACCCCCACAGAAGATGATCAACGCCTGCTTCACCACGGCAGGTTTAGCCCCGCCCACCGATTCGTGCATTACACACATAAGTATCATACATGTGCATGCTTACCTCGTGATGACAAACTGGATCGCTACCGAGCAATACAGAATATTGTGCAGTGGCTGGTTGTGCAAGACAGTCGCTGTATAAGCTTCCTCTGGATTCCAATAGGACTTCATGGTTAAACTTTATTTTTAATGAGGTTCCCGCTGATGAGGGTAAAACATCGTCGTCTGTTCGCTTCATTTCACTGAGGATTGTTTTGTCAAAAAGACTGGATTTGCAGACCGATTAAGAGTAAAGAACGGATATTGGATCTATATTGGATCTGACAGGAATATTGTGCAACACACGGACTCTGGGTTGAACATGTATGGGCGAATCCGGTTGCCATTTTACAACATTGGACGTTTTCCCCCATGTGCACCGACGGGTGAGTGAAACTCGTTATAATATGCAAAACTGTTCTCCACTCGCAGCAGTGGGTGTTTACTTCCAAGTCTTCAGTGCGACACGCCCATAAAAACCGACTGTTTTTTAGGTAGGCTCACAACCAGGGTACAAAATAGCCTATTACTTGTTCATTTTGATGTTTTTGAATGCAAAAACCAAGCGAACGTTATAAGTTGACCTCAGACAACAATATAATAACATTTAAAATGCCAGTTCATGACCCCTTTAATCAAGCTTAAATTCACACTTTAAAGTTCATTCTGGTTTGAAGCCTCACATTTGCACTTTTTGTGGAATGAGCTACCGCATAACTTTGTCCAGAGCAGACACTTATCACAGTTGAGATGTGGCTTGGGAAAGGGTAAAAAAAATACACACCGTCGCCTAGCCACTCAGGAACCTAGTGTCAGAGTTGCATGTACCCCATGCACACTGTTTGACCATTTTAATTTTAAAATAACAAGAAAAAACGAATGAAAACTGACTAACTCCAATGCATTTCAAAGGAAGTTGAAGCAGAGAATGTCCGAGTGTATTGGGTTAGCTGCGCACTGTGATTGGCTCATCGTGTTTGAGGGCGTGTCTTAGCAATAGGTCAATTACCAATAATTTTCACCTGTCGTCTATTCCATTTGCACAACAGCATGTGAAATTGATCGTCAATCAGTGTTTCTTCCTAAGTGGACAGTTTGATTTCACAGAAGTGTGATTGACTTGGAGTTTCATTATGTTGTTTAAGTGTTCCCTTTATTTTTTTTGAGCAGTGTATTTTTTTTTATTAAACTACGTTACAATATGAACTATATGGAAACTAGTTACAATTAATTGTCAAGATTGACGATCCATTGAAACAGTCACATTCTGTCATTGGTTTGCATTATGTATGCTTGTGGATTTAAATGTGTATATTTTGCTATTTTTTTTTTTTAATTTAAACTTAACAGATGATATTTATATTTATAATTATATTTGTTTTATATATTTTGTCCTGTTTTCTCAGACAAAGTCAGTTTGTGGAATTGTTTCTAAATGACATTTTGATGATTGTAAGTGTGATGATAATCTGCTAAATGAGCAACAACGACCACAATTCACTCCTTCAGTCAGTGAAGATCCCACAGCCGTTCATGAGAGTTTAAATGCTGGGGAATATTCCCATCTTCCCACAGGAGAAGAAGAAGCAAGCAGGGGGAATTACTCCAGGAGAAAATACAGACATACTATTGTAAAGATGGAGATTAAGGAAGAACCCTGCAGAATAAAAGATGAAGATACAGAGGAACAAATAGGTTGGTGTTTTCCTTCATTCTCTTTAATGACTGATGAGAAACATTAAGAGGAAAACTGAAAAGGAAAAAAAATTGTTAATGTCTATTCACCTAGTTTAGTGTATCTCAATTGTTATCTCAATTGTTGTTCTCATTTCTTCTTTATTTGCATTTAGACCCGATGGAAGTGAATGAAGATAAACAACATCAGTTTCAAAAACATCAGCTTTTTAAAAATGAAGATGGAAACACAGTCATTCAACAGACCGAAAAGTGTTTCAAACAAAAACAAGCTAAAAAAACGTCAAGGTTAAAGGGAGTCAGAGTATCTTTCACTTGCTCTGAATGTGGAAAGACCTGCACACAAAAATCAGACCTTGAGAGACACATGAGAATTCACACTGGAGAAAAGCCTTTTACATGCACTCAGTGTGGAAAGAGTTTCAATCTGAAAGGCTCTCTCACAGAGCATCTGCGCCGTCACTCTGGAGTGAGATCATTCAGCTGTGATCAGTGTGATAAAACTTTTGTTATGGAATCAAACCTAAAAGTACACCTTAAAGTTCATTCTGGTGTGAAGCCTCACTTTTGTTCTTTTTGTGAAAAGAGTTTTTTACGACTGCAGTCTTTAAAAGTGCATGAGCGTCTTCATACTGGTGTGCGACCTTATGTGTGCCTTGACTGTGGGAAGAGCTACACTTTGTCCAGTTCTTTAAAACGACACCAGAGAATTCATTTAATGCATAGCTAAACAGATGTGTTTTGAGTCTGGATTTGAATGTGACAACTGTAGGAGCGCATCAGACCTCTTCTGGAAGCTGTTCCAGCATAATAAATAAAAGCGGACCTCCCATGCTTAGAGTGAACCCTTGGTATTTCTAGCTGATGTAATCTGATTGATCTGTTAGGTTTAGATTCAGTGAGCATGTCTGCAATACATTGAGGTCCTAGCCCATTCAATGATATATACCAGTAATAATACTTTAAAATTAATCCTAAATGTAACTGGGAGCCAGTGTAAAGACCTGGGGCCTCGTTTATAATTGTTGCGTACGCACAAAAGAAGGCGTACACCGCTCTCTATGCAATAATTGGCATTTATAAAAAGCAAACTTGACGGTAAAATGTGCAGTCCTTTACGCAAGCTCTGACCCAGGCGTACGCACAAAAACGGGTGAAATGAGAAATGGCGACACCGTCGGCAGTTGGAAAAACACGTGAAAGTGTGTGAAACTGTTGACGGTTGTGTAAAATAAATGGCAATACTGCCTCTCATAAATAACACGAAGACTTCACAAAGCAAGTCTTACAATTAACAGCTTACACGAACACACGTTTGATCGATCTGAAACAGAAATGCAAATTAACACAGGTCTATTTCCAAAAAGAAAGTGAAATATGTTCTGCAATAATATTGGCATGTTATACAATTCATCCTCATAAATAAGATGGTAAACAGAACGAAATAATGTACAAAACTGATATTCTCGCCAATATGTCCATCTGGCGGAGCATATATAGCAATTAGATAGTCAGTCAGATAGATAGATAATTAGGGAGATATATAGATCGATAGATAGATAAATTGATGTATTATTTGTCCACTGGGGAAAGTTGTTTTCATAGTAAAAGATGTCTTTATCAGCTACGGAATCATGGTATTCATGCATATGCCTTTAGTTTGTTTTATTTTTGATAAAATAACATATGACGTATGTCTCAACCATTCAGAAAGCTGCAAGAAATTACATTTGTGCTGAACTATTTCCCATTTCCAAGTAGATTATAACCGACATCCGTAGTCAGATGCAGAATTAAATGGATGGAAATAAAATGCCCCATCACAATGCGTATAATGACGCACAATGGATATTGCGCTCTTAGAAGATTAAATGGAAGGATTCGGAGTGAACGCGTCATCTTCACAACAAAAGGTGTGGAAAAAATATATTATTTATCCAAGAATTCCCTTATTGTGCAGTTTATTTCAGTTAGGACAGTCTTGATTTCACACAACACCTTGGCCACCTCTCTAAATGAATTAATGACTAGACGCTAGTTTGCCTCGACTTTGATGTCCGACCATTTCTTTTTTATTTCGGCCATAGTCCGAGGTTGTGAGGCTACGGCATTTACTGCGTCTGCAACCTTTTGCCACTCAAGTGCCTTTTTGGCATTAATGCCCACACTGTGCCCTCCAAACAACATTTTTCTCCTCTTTTCCACCTCGCCAACGATAACTTCTACTTCATATTGAGTGAAGTTACTTCTTTACTTAAATTTCTTCTCTGTGTTTAACATGATTTCACAATCGATAAATATTAACTTGTGGGCGTTTCACTGACTATTTATGGGCAACTTTGGGCGTGACATGAAGCCGCAAAAGCTGCGCAACATTTAGAATTGATTGTGATTTATTAAGGGAAAAATGCGTAGGATGTGCGTGTGCACGGTTTTATAAATCCGAATATTTCTGTGCGTACGCACGTCCTATGTTTCATCTGTACGCCATTTTCTGATGCAAATCCTAAACAAAGTTTTATAAATGAGGCCCCTGAGGACTGGTGTGATATGTTCATATTTTCTGGTCCTGCTCAGAATCCTGTCACCAGTGTTCTATATGAGCTACAACTGTCTGATGGTCTTTTTGGGAAGGAGTCCAAAAGAAAAAAGGGTGTAGGCTTCAGCGGAGGGCGTTGAGCTGGGGACGGACTGGACCATGGAGGCGTTGGCCATGGGCACCATGGTGCAGACAGGGTAAGGTATCAGGGCGGAGCCTGAACTGACGGGCAGGGCGACACATGGGTGCCAATTAACTGTGGTGGAACCATGGGTGGCTGAAGACTTTTCGGATGCGGAGTTGAGTGGCCGATGGATCTTGACGACAGCGTAGACTCAGATGACAGGAAGCTAAGCCTGCGGGACTGAGGTGGTATCATGGGGACGGATGACTGGGGTGAAGATGTGGTGAGGGAGGCCATCAAGGAGGTCAGAGGAAGGGAGGAGTCCAGGGGTGCCCAAGGGGTTCAGTGTCAAGTGTCAAGCGAGCCCAGCGGAGCTTCCGGGCAGATGGACCGCAGAGGCGATGGAGGGGTGGGTTGAGGTGAGGGTGACAGGCTGACAGGACACTGTGGTGTTGTGGGTCTGGAGGCCTGAGGTGTAGTCATTGCGTTTGGAAACAAAGATGAAGTTCTCAAGGTGAATGCATACCTTGACGCTAGGGGTCTAACAACTAAAAATCAAGTCCAGAATCTTGGTGTGTTTCTAGAGTCAGACCTTAGTTTCAGTAGTCATGTCAAATCAATAATTAAATCAGCATACTATCATCTGAAAAATATTGCAAGAATTGGATGCTTTGTTTCCAGTCAAGACTTCGAGAAGCTTTCATCACCAGCTGGGTGGATTATTGTAATGGACTCCTCACTGGCCTTCCTAAAAAGACCATAGGACAGTTGCAGCTAATACACAACGTTAAGCAGAACCAGAAGATATGAACACATCACACCAGTCCTCAGGTCTTTACACTGGCTCCCAGTTACATTTAGGATTGATTTTAAAGTATTATTACTGGTATATAAATCATTCAATGGGCTAGCACCTCAAAATATTGCAAACATGCTCACTGAATCTAAACATTTAATAGATCACTCAGATCATTAGGATCACATCAGCTATAAATACCAAGGATTCACTCTAATGGCAAGTTCAGACTGCATGATTTTCAAAGTAGTCGTGTCGTTGTTTTCACACTGCATGAATGTCTTGGTCAGCATTCAGTCGCTGCTGTGTTCACACTGCACAATGGATCGGCGACAGAAGGTTTCACACTTTACAATAGGAAATTACTTTAAAATAGGAAAAATTGGCGACAACTTTGTCTAGCACGCTGCGTGCTGAGACAACAAATAACAAACACGTGAGATGTGACAAGGAAACAACGCGACACCACACGTGGAAGACTGCCGGAGTTCTCACGTGAAACTTTTTTTCTTTTTCGACCTGGTTGTGTTGTGGTACAACTCAGATGAAACAAACAAACACGGGAGCTCCTGCGAAAATTTCTTCCATTTCTTGAACTTTTCTTCCATTTCTTGGGTCCAAATAGACAGAGAAGAAGCCTTTTTCTGTCATGCATGTTGATATGTGAACTATAACTCTTCCCCGAACTCCCTGCTGCTCTGTATCTTGATCTCTCATTGGCTGTCGGTAATCACAGATGTAGTTTTTCATTCAGAACACACAGCAGGATTTTGAATCACTGACAGTTCCAGATATTTAGCATGCCAAATATCTTGATTCTTTCAGATCGCGTCTTTGCTCATTCACACTGCGTGATTGTCACTCGTGTGAACGAGCGCCGATTTGTCTGTGATTTTGGGCATTTGTCAGCAATTTTCTCAACCTATTGGCGAGCCAAAATCATGGCTAAGCTCAGATTGCGTCTTTGCTCATTCACACTGCGTGATTGTCACTCGTGTGAACGAGCGCCGATTTGTCTGTGATTTTTTTTTTTTTTTGGCATTTGTCAGGAATTTTCTCAACCTGTTGGCGAGCCAAAATCATGGCTAAAATCGTGCAGTCTGAACTCGGTATTAGCATAGACAGTCGGCTTTTAACTACTATGTCAGCCGCAGCTGGAACCAGCTTCCAGAAGAGATCAGGTGTGCTCCTTCAGTAGTCACAGTCAAATCCTGACTCAAAACACTTATGTTTAACAATGCACTTACTCAATGAGCACGGTGCCACTGTTCGTCCGACTGTTTTTACTGTACTTTATTTTATTTTTTCATTCTAAACTGTTTCTTATTTGTTTTGATTATTTTCATTTCTTTTATGTAAAGCACTTTGATTTACGATTGTGTATGAAATGTGCTATATAAATAAACTTGACTTGCCTTTGTCTGTAATTTGCCCACATTCACACGTTTTATGAATCAATGACTCATTCATTGATTCATTCACTTCTCTCTGAACTGAATTAAAGGATTGATAGTTTAACAGCGCTCGAAATGTAGAGCTTA